ATGAGCAATCACACAGTTTTAATTGTGCATCATACAATATTGCCTCGTCTTTAATTATCTGAATTCCTGTACTATTTCTGTTTGTTTGATTTACAGATGGGAGAGTGCTACGGGATTGCTTTGGCTCGTCTTGGAGAAAATGTGTGCGACAGAGGGAGAGAGATGGGGTGAATAAGGAGGGGGTTACTGCTCTGCTCAGTCACATGGAGAGGCACGAGCGGCAGGCAGAGCGAAAGAAAGGGAGAGAGAAAGAAAGAGGGAGAGAGGTGAAGGAGAGAGGGATAGAAAGGAAAGGAGAGAGAGACAGGAGTGAGAGGGTATCTATTCAGCTCTGAACACATATGAACCGGTGGGATGTGCTGGACCACCTCTGAGCTGTACAGTCCTAGGTTAGCATTACTCAGTGAGCTACCTTACAATTTGACATTGTTCAGTGGTTTCCAAGGACACACTGGAGCATGTTAAATATGAACCTGCTTTTTTGGTAACTGGGACATTTTTAGACTAAGCAACAAAACCCCTCATTCAGAACAAATTCTCACTGGCAAAAAAAAATATTTGCTTTAAGCTTGTTTGTTTGAATGTGTAGTTTGTTTTTCTTTAGTTTTCTGTGTGGCATTGTACATGAATAAATAAAATGCTGAAGTAGATACTCTTTGACAATACATGTGCTTAGCCACAGTAAAACCAACCCAAACAAGTTACACAACAGTGCGGTTGGCTCCCTTTATCTTTGACTTTCTCTCACTATTTAAACTAAAGAGATTGAGCAAGCAAGTCTGCCAGTGTATCAATAAGTCTGCCAACTGCACACTGTTGGGATAGAGACAGGTATATTTATGGGAGATTATATATGTGTGAAACAAAGTCTGTAAAAAGCATTTCATTAAAAAGTATGTTTATTCTTGGAGGGTCCACCACCTGCTTGTCTCCATGGGGATGATATTGCATTGTCTGGAATGTTCCACAGTATGGCATTAAACTTCTAAATCTTCATGGAGTCAAGTTCAACAAAACCAGGCCAAGCTATAAGTCAGAGCTGAGCCCTCTCACAGTAAGAAAGGATGTTTTTCAGTGTATTTTCAAGCAATAAAAGCAACTGCAATTGATCAACACAAGATAAATATAAAACGTTCATGTCATACTGTGGAACATTCCAGCCACAGCAAAAATATCTCCATGGAGACAATCAGACCCTCCACCAGAAAAGCATACATAGGGCACCAGTTTTTCCCTTAAACATCCTATATTATGCAAAACTGACTCTTGTGAGCTTTAAGTCATGTTGAAATGTTGTTACTTGTGTTTTGTTTCATTCACACGTTTTGAGTAATTCTTTATTATTAGTCTGTCTACATCTCCAAAGCTCAAAATGCTCTGTCCCACCTTGTGATGTCATGAAGCTGTAGTTTTCAAGTTGGCAGCTACATTTTACCTTTAGTTCAGTAGAGATAGGTAATTCCAGGGCTGAAATGTATTACCACATGACATCACAAGGTGGAACAGAGCATTTCTGTGGAGAGAAGAGGTCCTAAATATGTTTGAATATGTTTGTGGTGAGGAAACAACATTAAAACATAGATCACAAAATAGCGTAATATGGGCTCTTTAATAAATTCATCATACAATTGAGACATATGTTTCTTAGTATTTACAAATCTGCCACATCCTCTGAGTCACTGGAATATTCTGTGTTTGAAAGTGCTGCTGCTGTCACGTATCTGTACGAAATACCACCATCTGGACGGATGGATGGTTGGTGTTTTTGCTCCTGGTGATAACACAGTGAATTCATCAGACCGCTCTTGTGTCACTCTCATCCTCCTTTCATCCTCCTCTTCTCCTTTCATTCCTCCGCTGCCCTCACTACCCTCCTTTCATTATTATGCTGAGTGTTATACCTCTGTAATTACGTGTCTATTTCAGGCCTTTTGGTGCAAACAGTTCTCCGATTGCTCTACTCAACAAACTGCATCCTGTTATTACGACATAGATTGTGGGATTGTTAGTTAGTGATGTTAGTTGGCAATTCTTATATGAAGTCTTAGGAAAATTTGGCTTTAATCACAGCTCAATCCAGTGTATTAAGACGCTCTATCACAAACCCACAGCTAGAATCAAGGTGAACGGCAGCCTAACGGATAGGATTGAGCTCCAGAGAGGGACTAGGCAGGGCTGTGTTCTTTCACCGATTCTGTTTGCTCTATACGCTGAGCCCCTAGCACAGGCAGTAAGGCAAAATTCAAACTTGGAGGGTGTTACATTCGCAGGGCAACAGCATCTTATTGGACTTTTCGCAGATGATGTTATTATTTTCCTGCGAAATCCTGAATACTGCCTTCCTAATTTAATGCATCTATTCCGTACATTCGAATACCTATCAGGTTATAAAATAAATATATCTAAGACACAAATTCTAACATTCAATTATTCACCTTCCCAAAACCTTAAAAACCAATATAAATTAAAGTGGGACTCAGAAACTATGAAATATTTGGGTATAACTTTGACAAAGTCGCTTTCCGATATGTCTCAGACTAACTACAGTAAAATAGAAGGAGACATTAGAAAAGATTTAGAGCGCGATGGTCTACTCTGCCTACGAATTTTTACTCTAGAATACAAATTATAAAAATGAATGTCCTCCCTAGACTGTTGTATTTGTTTCAATCCCTCCCACTTCCTGTACCTCAAAACAAATTCAAAACATGGGATAAAATGATCTCAAGGTTTATTTGGAATGGGAAAAAGGCAAGAATAAAGTTCACAACTTTGCAACTTCCTAAACAGAAAGGGGGGATGGCTCTGCCCAATCTAAGGGAGTACTTTCTTGGAGCTCAACTCAGACCTCTAGCATGCTGGTGCAGGCCAGACTATGAAGCACGGTGGAAAGACATTGAAAAAGAAGTTGAGGGTTATAAAATACAAATACTTATATCTGATAAACAATTATCATCATTCCTTAAGGGCAAGATGAACCAAATTGTGAAGTTTACACTAGAAACGTGGTACACTGTAGTAGAAAAATATAAACTGAGAGAAAAATCCTTTCTACTGAGATGGTTTAGGTATGATCAAAAATTTAAACCAGGGCAACTTGACCAATCATTCAAACAATGGGAATTAAAAGGGATAAATGCAGTCTGTACTCTTTTGAAAAATGGAAAGCTAATGAGCTTTCAACAACTAAAGGAGAAATTTGATTTAGAACATAAAGACTTTTATAGATATTTGCAAGTGAGAGATTACTATATAAAACAAAGTAAACCTGACTTATGGGAGGACACACTAGGTGTAATTGGGGTAGTAAAAGATTCATATGAACAAAAAAAATATAAAAGCAATTTCAGCTTTCTACAACTCTCTGGGGGAAAGTAGAGAAGAAACAACTCTTTACCTAAAACAGAAATGGGAAACAGAGTTGTCAATTAATATAACAGATGCAGAATGGTTTCAGATGTGTAAAATACACCATAGTACTACTAATTCACTGTTGTGGAGGGAATATTGTTGGAAGAATTTGACACGTTTTTTCATTACACCTAAAATCAAAAGTAGACAGACTTCTACCCCGCAGGAGTGCTGGAGGTTATGTGGAGAAAGGGACGCTGATCACGCACATGTGTTTTGGAATTGCCTGAAAATTCGGGTATATTGGGACCAATTGAACTTAACCTTAACGACTATTCTGGGATATGGAATTCCGAACACATGTCTGGTGATGTATCTGGGAAATATATCTGATGCAGTAAGGAACGAGGACATGTATTTGGCAAAAAATTATTTTAGCTGCATCTAAAAAGGCAATTACAAAGAATTGGTTACAACCAGATCCACCTGCACAACAAGACTGGATCAGGATCGTGGAGAATATTTCAATGATGGAAAGAATAACATATAATCTGAAACTTAAAGGGTACAAATACAATGAGCAATGGGAAAAATGGAATGTTTTCATCAATGACATCAAAAAAACAATATAGTGCATACAAATGTCAATACCAAATACATGTTTAAATAAGAACCTGTAACTCCAGATTGTTGTTACATTGTTTGTTTATTGTTTTTTTTTTTGTTTTTTTTTTATTTTATACTGTTTTTTTGTGGTTTGAAATGTTACTTAAAACCAATAAAAACAAAGTTATAAAAAAAAAAGATTGTGGGATTCTGAACACTAGTGGTAGCATTACATTTTGAAAACATTTGTGCATAGTAGTATTTCTTCACGATAATATCTGGCTTTGTTGTTTCAAAAGTGTTTTTATGTGTAGCAGATTATTGTTAAATGGCTGAAGGCTACAAAATCCAAAGATTACTGGCTCTAAACACCTCTAAACACTGTGGTAAAACTGCTTGTTCTTTAACAATGCTCCAACCACACTTTAGTGCCATGTTACAAAGAGTGAAGATTTATTAAGTGTTTAACTGCAGTAATTTCGTCATGTTTGTTGCTCTGAAAATGGTGCACAGGGCCATGAGCTATGTATTCTCTACATGATGCATAGTTATTTGTAAGTGATACGTAAGAATATTTTTACCATCATACACGAGAGATGCAAAGTGGAATTGTCTATTATAGGACTTGTATTACTTTAACCGGTTACATTTCAGTCTTCTCGCAAATGATTATGCGCTTTGTTTTGTTTAAATATCAACTTTGAACAGAAACCAACCGTACATACCTGTATTACATAAATCGCAATTTTTCGGAAAAATCAGAATCCAGTATTTTTTCCTTAATTGTTCAGACGATCATACACTTTCTTCTTCTGGTTGTTCTGATATGAGACAATACAAGGCACTGATGCTATGTGTCTGCAGCTCTCCTGGCCCTCTTCAGTCACACATTTGTGTTTGACAGTGTTATTGCATCTTGTTGGATGCCTCTGTCCGTCCTGTGGGATTCGTCTTTGTGTCAGAGCCGTGTGCTAATGGAGCAGAGTGATGGACCTGTCTAAAGGACAAACTAAGACATCTTTTTTCTCTCTTTTCTCTTACAGAAGCAGCCAAGAAAGCCTTCATCACAGAGGTAAGCCCCCATGATTTTTCATAAAGACACTGTTCACTTTTCAGGTTGTTAATATTAGCTCAAAGAGGGTTAAATTGCTCAAATGAACTTTTCATGGTAACATGTTAAAATATATATAGTGTAATGACAGTCACAATTACTTGTATAAGAAAAAAAAAGAAAAACTGGTCAAAATCAGTCTAACAAAACCTTTTCTATCTTCCTCAGATGCCCTCGTCGTCAGGGCAACCAGGCCAGGGCAAGAAGATCGGCCACAGAGGAGTCGATGCATCAGGAGAGACAACTTACAAGAAGGTGAGTTATATAAGGCCAGTAAGTTATCTGAATGTGCAGTATCGACTTTTTTATGTGCTGCTTTATTTCTCACTTATGGTCTTTTCACTCATTACATCCTCATGGGTCCTTTACCCCCTCGTCCAGACCACATCATCAGCTTTGAAAGGTGCTATCCAGCTGGGCATCGGTTACACAGTGGGCAACCTGAGCTCCAAACCAGAGAGAGATGTTTTAATGCAAGACTTCTACGTTGTGGAGAGCATTTTCTTTCCCAGGTGACACTTTTACTCACTTTCAGTTAGTTAATCAAATTAAGATGGGTCAAATGCAGAAAATATGTTTACCTACAGGGACAGTAAAGTATACCTTACCTTATCTTACACATCATTTATCTCCTTGAGGAAACAAATGGAGCAGTTCAATTGACAGCAACAGGTAACAAAGAAAAGACAAATATCTTTATTGCTTTGCCTGGAACGTTCCACAGTATGGCATTGAACTTATGGATTTATTAAATTGTTTATTTTACTAAAAAAACACACCTTGAAAAACATGCTTTCTTACTTTGAGCAAACTCGCCTCAAGATAGATCTGACCTGTAAATTTGCCTGGTGTCTGCACCTGCTTGTCAATAGATGTGTTAAATGCCATTCAGCTGAACATTCCAGGCAAAGCAATAATTGCTCCATGGATTCAAGCAGGTGGCAGAATCCAACCAGAAAATTTACATAGTGCACCTTTAAAAAGGCATGTTTTTAAATGTAAAGTCCAGTGCTTGGTTTATGTGCAGTGTAGTGCAGCTGTATAGTGCATCCTCATTGTTAACTACTGTATATAGGCCACTATTTTCTCATTTGTAATTCAGAAGTCTAATGCATTTAATAATGTCTACTGATGTTTCTTTACAGTGAAGGGAGCAACCTGACTCCAGCTCATCATTTCCCAGATTTCCGTTTCAAAACGTACGCTCCTGTGGCCTTCCGTTACTTCAGAGAGCTCTTTGGCATCAGGCCAGATGACTACCTGGTAAGTCTGCTCACACATAAATACAGTCAATAAGATAAAAACACTATTAAAAGGCATTTTGGATAGACGAAGTGTAGAAGTATATTGGATGCTTTTGCTGTGCTTTTCAATTTTTCGCAGTCAATGTAATAAGAGTCTGGCAGAAAAATGAATTTGTACTAAATTGAAGTTGAGTGTTATCAAGGTATTACAACAAATAATCAATCAAACAATATTTATAGAAAAAAGATAATTCATTATTCAATCTGGTTGCTTTATTATTAATACTTTGCCTTAGGAACGATATAGACCTCAAAAGACCTCAAATATTACAAAATGCTTGCAATATTAGCAGCCAAATCCACAGCACTCCTTTCCCTAATCTTTTTTTACTGCTGTACATCAAGGAAGCAATTTTAAGGTAATTTATGAAACGAGAGCCCATAAAGTCAGAGAGGCTCTTAAGGCTGTATGACTTGTCTCTCTCTATCAGCACTGAGGAGCTGATTCTCTGCACAGATCAGGGCTAGCACCAAACACGCAATCATTACTCAGTGTTTTTGCATATTCACTTGGTCTATAATGGAACTGGCAGCATTTGCCTCTCTACAGTATTTTATTAAACTTTTTAGCTACTATTTGCGCAATTTTTATTTATTTTTTTAAATATCTAAAGTCCATAAATAATATCATAAGTGGTGTTTTGGCTCAAAGGAGAAATCAGTCAGTAATGTTGTTTTGATGTAGCAATATTGGATTTGATTTTTATTTTCCTATTACTTGTATTTTTGTGCCACCGGGTTACTTTAGGCTACACTTTGATTGTAAAAATCTTTGTCAGATCTAGCATTTTCCTTTCTACCCCCTATTAAAAACAGTATGTTGTAAATGTCAAACAGGATACAGAGATGTTTGAAAATAGAGCCATTAGCTGAAGGTGGACTGAGGCCTTCACCTTCTGACAGACACTTGTTATTTTATAAGGCACTGAAACAGTCTTAATGAGCTGTTAAAATCACACAAAGAACATCTAATGGTTTATTAAAATAATGGTAATATAAAGAATTTAACAAAATGTATTTACTATCGAGAATTACTATTACCGCAGTTCTCCCTGACCTTTAACTGCAAACAAACAGCTTTATAATTATATTTGCACTGATAGACAAACAGGCTAGGTAATTATTCAAGACAATATTCCATGTCTCTATACCATCAACAAAATACAGTAATTATAATTTTAAAAGATATTAGAAAGAGCAGCTGATGGGGGGGGGGGCACACAATATGGTGTATGTCTATGTTTATCACACAGTATTGGACATAAATTAATAATGAGAAGAACAGGAGGGGACTGGCACACCCAGACCGTGGAGCTGGGGTCAGGTTGAGTTCATAATTTTGGACAGAAATGTAGAGAGGACTTAGCTAACAACTTACTGTGCCAGATTTTCAAAACTGCAGTCGCACACTCATTATATGTGCACAAACTGGATAAAGGCTATAATGACAGTGTAAGTGCTTTTATGCTAGATGATTGGTGTATTGTGAATGCTACAATGACTGGCCTCTGACTTTCTCTGTTGTGTCTCCCACAGTATTCTTTATGTAACGAGCCCTTGATCGAGCTGTCCAACCCAGGAGCCAGCGGATCAGTTTTCTACCTTACAAAAGACGATGAGTTTATCATAAAAACTGTGATGCACAAAGAGGCTGAGTTTTTACAGAAGCTGCTGCCTGGATATTATATGGTAAGCAAACCTGAATTCTTTTTGTAAACAATCTGTTCTGTGACAGCTCATATCTTAGGTGAATCATTAGGAAATCTGTATTCAAGTTGCATTTGAGATGTGCAAAGATGGCTGACAACAGAAAATCAAACCAGTGTCTACGTAAATGAATTAGTTTTCTGTTTCATAAAGCTCTTTCAGGCTTGTTTGTTATTGATTTGTAGGCGTTTCTAAGCAGATCACGTCACAGCTTACATTAACATGCATCTCCATCTGTGTCTCTTGTACTTGACATGAGATCACACTTTATAATGTATGCAAGTGAACAACCTCTTCCATAGGAGCAGCATTTAACGGATTGCTTCAGCTTCATGTTTTTTCTGTATAATTCTAGTCCAGAGAGTTAGCTTATAATACAATTACTCACTTACAATAAATATACAAACAAATTAGATGAAAAGAACCTGCTTTAAACCATAATTTCTATATTCTCTAAGGTCATCATTCTTAGTAAAAACGTTAAGTATTATTCATCGTTGGCTATTTTGTGTATAATAGTTTGGAAAAAATTTATCGATTTATCAACTTCAAATGCATAATATAAGATATGGTACAATGTGTTGGGTACTACCGTAACTACAAATGTTTTGTTGGAAAATCTATAATACAGTATACCTTTTTCTGTCCATTTTCCAAACAAGATGTGAGAACGTTTGTAGATATTGTATTTTGTCCTGTTGTTATTACATTTATACTGATGCTGTGAAAATGCTCACTTGTAACATAAACGAATCTAACTTGTGTATCTTTAGCTCATGGTGAGACTCGATCAATCTTTGTGTTGTTGTTATGATGTGCCCTTGTTCTTATGAAGGATCGTAAGAGTACTATCTCCACCTGAGGCCATGTGCTTTCATAGCTGACCGGATGTACTGCACTTAAGCCCAGCAGAGCGTAGCCATCTTTGTACAGTCTGAAGGCCTATTCACCCACTCCATCTATGTCCACATCTCTTCACTCTCATCTTAACTTAATTTCATACTTTTTATCCCGGTGTTTATTTAAGTGCCAAAAAACGCATCCAAGGATCACCACAAGAACTGATTTAATAATTTAAGGACACTTTCACTCAGATTTTCCATTGTTTTGGCTGTGCTTTGAGGCTTTTCTCTGGTAATTGGTGCGAGACTGGAGCTGTAATGAGAGGAAAAGTATTCAGCTTCATGCAGGACAGCTGTAGCCGTAGGCCAGGACCAGATTTAGGAAATGAGCAAGACATTACATTATACAGACTGCATTGTTTCAAATACGGACAAATATTGGAATATATACACTTTTAATTAAGTGTACTACAAACAGACAAGCTGGCATAAGTAAGATAATTGGAATGCATAATGTTATCCGGTTTATACATTTAAAACCTGTTCCAGAAACAAGTTGATAATAATGAGAAATACAAGTAATAAACTTAGATTTAGACAAACTTTATTGATCCACAAGGGAAATTATTTGGATGCAGTAGCTCACACACCACAATATATTATAATAACAAAAATAATACAATCAGCTAATAATAATAATAATATACATTCTTTAAACTGAAGAGATAATTTGAATTTATCAGTTTAGTTTTATATTTATTTGTCTTGTTAGGACACAAGAATTGAACAACACATCTACCTGTTTTCTGAACTTAGACCTCATCTCTCCATCACCACAGATGTAGCAATAGAACATGTAATGAATAAATTAAGTACTGTATAATAAAAATCAGTTGAAAAGCTTGTGCCTGGAGACAGCGTTCAGCAGTAGTTGGTGCGGTCCACATGTCTGCTCCAGCTGACTGAGCAGAGGAGCCTGGCTCAGGGCAGCTCTGTGATGTAACCCATTATCTGCTCTATTATCTGACTCTTCCTCCTGCGTCTCCGTCTCATCACTCTATTCTGACACTCCCTACACGCCACCACCGTCATTTTCTTTATAGTTTATTCGACCTCATCATGTGCTAATCCTCCTTCACTGCTCTTTCTCATTGCTCATGTTTCTGTGCCCTCTCACGTGTCTGCTGTGGCTTGTCACTGGGCTGGCCTCTTCACATTGACATAAGGCTGAGGGCAGAAGATGCCCTTTCTCTGTCTCTCAACCTCTCCTCTCTCTGTGGTCTCTCTTTTCTCTCTGTCCATCTCTTCTACGCTTTCTTCCCTTTCTCTTGCCCTATCTCTCTTCTTTTTCCCCCACCTCTCACTCTCTTCCTCACCCATCACCCTTCTATTTTTCTCTGTCTATGCCTTCCTCTTCTTTCTCTATCTCTCCCTCACCCATCTTTTCTCCCTCTCTCCCTCCCTCTCTTTTTCTCCTTCTCTCTCTCTCTCACTCTCCCTCTCTCCCTCCCTCTCTTTCCCTCCCTCCCTGTTTCCCTCCGTCTCTCTTTCTCCCTCTCTCTCTTTCCCCTTTGCTCATTCTCCCTCCCTCTCTTGCTCTCTCTCTCTTCATCTCTCCCTCCCTCTTTCATTCTTCCTCTTACTCTCCCTCTTTCACTCTCTTTCTCTCTCCCTCCCTCTCTTTTCATTCGAAGGTCGTTTGCCCAGAGCCTCTCAGGGCCTGATCCTTTTATCCACACTCCCACATCCTTCATGACTGTTCCCTTTCTGTTCTTTTTGTAGATACATTTTCATGCTGCCCTGTGAAAGTATGGCCATGTTTGTTTGTTTTTCTCTAATGCTTGTGTTGTGTTGCGTTGAGTAAGCATTCAAACAAATTAAGTTGGACTATTTGGTTACCTTGTTTTGGTTAAAAAAAAAAACAGACGCATTTTAATTTCTACATACTTTTCTTTGTAGATGTGAATGAAGCAACTAGGAGAGTGGATTAAAAATTGTGTAGCCAATTTACAGCAGTTGTGATGCTGCAAGAAAATTACAAGACAATATAAAATATAAATTAAATATAAGATCAACTGTGTATCAACTGTGTTTTCCATAATTATTGTTTTTCAGAATTATTTTCATTAGTACAGTGTGGAACAAACTGACACAGGGTTAAAAATTAATGCAACCATAGATTTTGTCACAAACGAGCCAACGATTTCTGACAAAAATCAAATGCAGACCCAAAGACCTTGTCAGTGTTAATGTCTTAATCAATGCCTGAATACTTTTAAGCTTTTCCTGCAATAAGTCTGTTAATTAGTGGTAATCTTTTGGTCAATTATTTCTTTTTGGCTTTTTCAGAACTTGAATCAAAACCCTCGCACTTTGTTGCCCAAGTTTTTTGGCCTCTACTGCGTCCAGTCGGGTGGGAAGAACATTCGAGTGGTGGTCATGAACAACGTGCTGCCGCGGGTGGTCCGTATGCACCTCAAGTACGACCTGAAGGGCTCTACATACAAGAGGCGGGCATCCAAGAAGGAGAGAGAGAAGGCCAAACCCACTTTCAAAGACCTGGACTTTATGCAGGACATCCCAGATGGACTTATATTGGATCAGGATACTTACAATGCAATGGTGAAGACACTACAGCGGGACTGCTTGGTAAGTACTATGACAGCAGACCTAAATGTGTATTCTGTGGTAATGTTTAGAGAAGATGTTTGTGTGTGTCTGGAAGAGCATGCTATGACAGCATGCTATGAGGTGCCTGAAATTTGACAATTTTGTTTTATAATATAGGGTTTTGTTCAGACAGATATAAATCTTACCTTTCCACATGCAGGCATGGCAACATAGTAACATAGGAGTTATTGCTTTTGCCTCACAGCAAGAAGGTCCCAGGTTTGACTCTTCTACTGATGGGGCTGTTTTGTCTGGAGCTTTCATAAGTTTCTTCAAAAAACATGTACATGAGTTGATTCTACATTGAGCAGGATCAGGACTATCAGTCAGATAAATAAAAGTTAAAACGGTCAAAGAAAAAAAAAAACTCTGACTCCATTTTGGTAGATTGTTTATTTGCCAACTCAGTTATTGAAATCACCCTTGTTGCTGTGCTCTAATAGCTGCCTCCTTACACTAGCTGGTCTCTTAGTTAAATGTGTTTCTTTTTGTCAAGATAGAGACAGGTCAAATGTAGGGTTAGTGAAGGTGGTGTATCCATTAAATGCACAGATCAAGATTCTCCGGAGGGAAATGGCTCCTGTGAAAGAGGCACGCAATCATGGTTGTAGAGAGCAATGTGTTGGATTAGAAGGTTGAGTCAATCAATATGTTAAGGAAAAGGAGTAGACACTTAAACAAGGAAGGAGCAGACCAGTAGTAAAGATGCCAGGGTCTATAATCAAAATAGGAGGATGCTGGTTAAACTAAACAAAGGAAGGGAAAGCAGAAAAACACATTGTTTTATGAGAGTGTTTGGCATACGGCAAAACCTTCATTATAAATTAGGGGCTTGGAGTTTTACAAGGTGTCTGGTCTGGTCTGCAGGGCCTTTCTTGTCTTATAAATCACCATCTTCAGTTTACATTTGCTGAGACTGTGAGGTTCAGTGGCCCGGTATAACAATCTAACCAGATCCACACAAATGATGTGTTGTTAGAAGATGTATTGTTAGAAGATGATATTATGAGGATTTGACAAAAAACTAAGGAAGAAAGTTATGTGAACGCATTGCAGGTAATTGGCCTGTTCAAACTGTCATTCGCTTAAAAAGATCAATGACGGTTCTGGAAAATGTTGGACTGTTTGACTGCTTAATCTTATTCAAGTTATATAGTCTTAAATGCTTATTAGCCACATATAAGAAGCAAATGCCATGAGAAGTGTTTGGTTGTCTCATACTGTAACTTTTTACATTATGCCTGTCATGTCACTCATATTTATCTTAACATGACGTGTCTGTGCTCAGGTGCTGGAGAGCTTTAAGATCATGGACTACAGTCTGCTGCTGGGTGTTCACAACATGGACCAGGCAGAGAGGGAGAGGCAGATGGAGGGTTCCCAGGGAGACGAAAAGCGGCCCGTGGCCCAGCAGAAGGCCCTGTACTCCACCGCCATGGAGTCCATCCAGGGGGGAGCAGCGTGTGGCGGGTCTATAGACACTGATGACACGTGAGTACACACACTATGTTCCTTTGTCCTTGGACAGTTAGTACTTTTAGTGCAATGTAGTACTTAATCATAGGGGTTAGCAAATAATATATATATAGATTTTTTGCCTTTGTCATAGTTTATATCAGGATTCATATTCACTTTGTAGTTAAAAAGTTAGTTAAAGGTTCACTATGTAACTTTTTGGTTGGGGGTCTGTCACCTACTTGTTTCTATGGATATGTCACTGCTCTGCTTGGGATGTTCCACAATATGACATTAAACAGCTCTGTCTTTTCATTTATTCAATTTACATATGGTTTTATTACTGTGAACGGGGCCTCTCCACAGATCTTACTTATAACTTGGTCTGGTTTGGTCTCCATGATAATAGAAAGGTTTTAATACCATACTAAGAGTTTTCATTTATCATTGATTAGTTTAAATCTACTTGCCACTCAGGGCATGATGGTGACTAACCTTTTAGAGAAGAAAGTGAAGAACATAGAGCCCCATCCAACAGAACATCTCTGAATAATATTATTAAGATCGCTCAGATCGACTACAGATTACTTTTATATTCATCTCAATGCAAGTCAATCTGGCCTTGTACTCTTGAAGGAAAGTCTTCATTTTGACACATTAATTATCCACATACACTGCAGAGCAAATTATGTTATACTTAATGCAGCTTCCCTTTAGCACCTGCTGCAAAATCATTTCTAATCTCATAACCATCACTGTGTACTGAAACTGAATACCGCACTTCAATGGATGTTACACGTGTGATCTAGTTATTTTCTTTACATTCCCAGCACATATTGCTCTCTATTATGTAGCAGTTTATGCTTGTTTAATCCATACTATGTTTGCATTTTCTTGAAGGCAGTAGCAGTAGCTCATTTGCTTCTAATCTCACTGGCATCAAAATGCTGCTCAGGGGCTTTGACCTCTGACTGCACTGTTGGCCTTATTATCCTCTGGGATCAAGTCCAGTCGAAGATAATCTAAACCACTTTACAAACCACTGGATTGGAGAAAAATCTCCAGTTTGACACTGGGTCACAGGAAGATAAGGCTTGATGTTGCCTTTTAAACCTCTTATAGACTTGCCTCCTTGAGAGTATCTTTAGCCAGCACTTAGACAGTTTCGCTTTCCAGGACGGGTCAGGACATTGTGCCTGAAGCCACATGGAATAAATTAATGTGTTTCAAAATTGCAAAACTGAGTAAAGATTTCAGTTGCTTTAGAATAAATTTGTTATAGCCAAGCAGACTCAGCCTTAGCTCCTCCTTATTGAAACAAAAGAAAAAATCTATATTAAATATTGATTCTGCTTATGCAGAATTTTACTGGAAAGGAAATGCTACAGAGTGCTTTACATGGTGATATACTTGTGATTTCAGGATGGGTGGTATCCCAGCTGTAAATGGCAAAGGGGAGCGTCTTCTTCTGTACATCGGGATTATCGACATCCTACAGTCCTATAGGTAATCGACTTCTGTGATAATGGAGACTGAGATACATGTTTACCACATCACATTGATTTCTTTTGACCGACTGCTGCATTCATTTGTTCTCCTTCTCCTGTGTGCAGACTAATCAAGAAACTGGAGCACACGTGGAAGGCCTTGGTTCATGACGGAGTAAGTTTCCTTTTTCACATAACGCCTGCGTTTCAGTATAGTATAATTTATCTTCTCATCTTATTACTATATTATTAGACATGAGAATTGGGCTTACTCTAGTCAGAGCCAGGCTGTAAAGCACCTAATACAAAGTTACCTTGTTCCTTATCATTATTCCTAACAGGGAACCAGATCTGTTTTATTCAAGGCAAGTTATCATTTATAATTACTGCTAATTGCTATGAAAAAGGAAGACAATAATTCAAGTAAATGAAGTAAATAATCACTAACAAAGATAATCACCATTATATCACTAAATTTACAAAATCGAAAGTGCAATGGACAAAGTACAATTCTGTAACAGTGTTCACAAAGTTTATTTAATAGAAGAAATCATAATTTAATAATTTGCATAATTACTAGTACCACTAGTGAAAATATCATATATCCTCAAATACCCAGAAAACTCTATTATTGTGGGCCAAGCTAAAATTGTACAAATAACACCAAACTTAGTAGCTAATTTAACGCTCAAATTGTTATTATCTAAAAAATCTAATTCACTCCATGTTTTTCATTCAGTGGTAGTTACTGTACTGTACTATGACTGTCTTGAGATTGATTTTGTCTGATGAACCCCCCTCCCCCCCTCCTTCATTACTCATCCTCCTCTCTGTTACCGCTGAACACATGTACAGTAGACTTGTGTAGGAGCAGTCCCCCTAACAACTGTATGTGCGTCATTCTCCTGGTCCCCTATATGTGACATATGGTGCAAATGCATTTAAAGATGTGAATAATTAGGATTTCCATAGCGATGATGCAAAAGGCTAACTATAGCGATTTGCGGAGGAGTTGTTTTTTCTCTTTGGCAAATACCAAGTGTCATCTGTCAGTCTCGTGTCAGTGTTATCGCGGCTCACAGTCACATCATAAATAATGAAAGCTGTGTCTCCGGCCTCTGCTGACTCTGGGCTCCTGTGCTTTCTGTTTTGTCTGGCGGTGGAGTGAACATTTATTTAATTCAAGCTAAAAATATTGTAATTATGTTTGTGTTTTTAGTAATTATAGCCAAGTATGGTAGTTGTGAATAAAAATTACAACCAGTGTTTTTCATTATTCAGTAATTCAGTCAAAATTCTTGTTTCATAAACAACTTGTTCAGCATAAAATTTAGTTTTTTGTGTATTAATTTGCAAAATTGCTAAATGTTATGTTTTCTAACAGGTCTATATATAGTGATTTGGTTGGCTGGTTCTCTATCTTAACTTATAGCAGCATTCTTTTGCACTCTATCATTTTGTTTATAAACTCTAAAATACTGTTCAGACGATGTAATCCAGTCTGCTTTGATCATTTTTCTCATGCACTATTTCTCTCTGATTAATCTGTCTCTCTGCAGGACACCGTGTCCGTGCATCGGCCCGGTTTCTATGCCGACAGGTTTTACAAGTTCATGAGCAACACCGTCTTCAAGAAGAGCTCCTGTGAGTTTGGTCCTAACACTGCCATACATAGTCACACGGGTCGAATCAGAGAGAGAGAGACATACACACAGGCACAGACATGCACACAAACACACACACACAGGCGTCAAATGCCAGGCTTTTGTCTTTTTTACTGCCAAACCGTGACAGAGGGATTAGATACAGGAGCATGCTGCCTTATTAGGAGCTGTTTCATGTCATGGATCATGTGGGAGAAAGCCTAAGTTTGATCCTGATGTTTTCTTTTTGAGTAAACCTCAATTATCTGTGCTTTTTAGAAACAGGATAGTTTATTGATCCTCTAAGGACATTTTTCAGTTGATACTGAATACAAATCTTACCATAAAAAATGTAAAACACAACCAACCTCCCACACAACCTCCCTGGCATGCTATTGTCCATTTCCGATAGCTGTCGAGGCCCACAGATTCTCCATCAGAAAAATTACAGAGTGCACCTATAAATGTGTTTTTTTAGAAGTCTTTGTGCTCCTGCTGGCCAATGTGAAAAATGCCCCATGTCCGTAATATAATTTTTTGCTCGTAGTCAAGCTTTTTGCTTGTAGTCATGCATAGAATTGAATTCCCAAATTTGGTGTAAATCCGATAATGTTGACGTTTCATTTCTATAGTAGGGGGCGCTATAATGAACACTTTATATATGTTTTATAGTATAATATATTCAGGCCGAGATCTTGCTCCCCTGCTGGCCAACTGTGAAAAATGTCCCATATCTGTAATATATAATATAATATTTTTTTTGCTTGTAGTCATGTTTTTTGCTTGTAGTCATGCATAGAATTTAATCCCTAAATTTGGTACAAATCTGATAATGTTGACGTTTTATATCTATGGTAGGGAGTGCTATAGTGTTCAGTTCTATTAGACTTCATAATCTGTGATGATCTAATTCAACTACAATGCAATTGTGATTTGAATTTAAACTCTCTAGACAGGGGTCTCAGACTCGCGGCCCGCGGAAGGATTTTTTGCGGCCCTCCACTTGATTCAAAGAATAATGTCAGTGCGGCCCGTGGTAGATGTACGCACAATCCCACCCCCTACCGCGGGCCGCACTGACAGATGAAGCTGCAATCGGTGCCATGCAGATTCACAACAGATTATTAACGCAGTTTACGTCCCAAAACTCAATTTACAGCAGTTGTGAAGGAACGAGTCTAAGTGGATCTGTTAATACAAGTACACGTGCACATAAGGCATCACCGAAGAACCAAAACAACCACACGTGGTGGTACATGTGTGCGCACTTCACTTTACGCTCCCACAACCACAGCATCAGAGCGCAGAGGAGGCGCTGACGCAATTCCCCTGTTCAGAAGTATGGGACCTTTATTGGAGGGGCTAATAAGAAATAAAAAGACATTGACAGTCTGTTTACCTGTTCAACACTCAGTGCGTAACTTGCTGGCAACTCGATGACCAAGCTCCACCTGTGCGTCGCCGAAATCCACGCGCACTCAGCGGCAAACACAGCTGTCCCATCAATATGCAAGCACCACAAAACTGCACTGATCTATTCCAGAGGCTTGGCGACATGTTAGCAAAAAGTACGAGGCAAAAACAAGCGTCTTCCATCCATGTTTGACATACGAGAAGCAGATACACTCCAGTGTGGTCCGCTTTCACACCGGCAAACGAACCAAACTGGTCCGATTAACGAGCCTCTGTTTAGAACAGCGATACCTCCAGTAACTAATACTGATGTTCCCTGTTAATACCGCGGGCGTCCTCATCTCAAATTATCACCACGAACTCATAAAACAGCAACGTAGAACTTTCTACAAACTCACCGCATCAGTTCTGAGTTCGGGTAACAGCAGCAGCCAACAGCGTTCAGCGTAGCGCGCAGCTCCTCAGGACGGCGCTGGAGTCTGGTCCTTGGTCTTCTGTCGTCCTACAAGCGCGTTGGTCAGATGGTCCGGAGGCTCTGTCCTCCATGTGCTGGTTCCAGACGGTGGCGAACAAGACCAGTGCGCAATGACTGGGTCTGAGCGGGTACGTTCCACCGTCTGCGCGCTGAGGGGAAAGTGAGAATGTTCTGTGCACTATACCTACAGGTCTGTGCTGCTCCTGTCCTTCGTGCTCAAGAACCGCAGCTGGTTCCGAGGTGGTGCAAAGCATCCGGACAGAACGTGAATCCAGTTTAGTTGGTGTCCGCATTTGGTTCTTCCCGGGAAAAGCGCTTTTCACTCCCCGCTCCACGTCATCTGAGCCCGGACAGAACCGGAGCTGCTCCCGCTGGTTCGGGACTCCGGTTTGGATCTAGTCCGACTGTATTTCTCACACTAGGCTAAAAGCAGGACATTTTTAAAGGTGAATCAATTGAATGGGCGATTGCCTATTGCCATAAAATTATTTGATTAATTAAAGCCTAAAATAACAAATGCTGGTTCCTACATGATCACGGGGAACACCGGGACCTCTGTGCAGGTCCTGAACAGAAGTACACACCCCCATTTTTGACTCACTCTGGAGCCACACGTTCGCACGTTCTTGCTCTGATCTTCGTGTATTACATTCTCTGTATTGGCCATTGTTGGTAAAATATTTCGAAAATGAATCGCGGCTGCGTCTGGACAACAATCTGTTACTGCGCTGGAGTCGTACAGCGCGTCATTACAGGCAGGAGACGCGTTTCTCCCATGATGCATCTAGAATAGTTCGTTTAGACCTGCTGTCTGTGGTTTGGACCCGGGTTCGCGTTCACACCAGAAGAACCGCACCAAAGTTGGTCATTTGGTGCGGATTCAAGCGAACCGAGACCACCTCTTTTTTGAAGTCTCGGCCCACTTGAGTTGGTCCTGGTCAGAGTCCGATTGACGCTTTCACACCAACGCAAACGAACCGAACTAACCACTTCTGGTTCGAATGGATCGTTTGGTGTGCACCAAATACTGTCGGTGTGAAAGCACCTAATACAGGTCAAGGCTCACTGATGAGCATCTTCAATCTATCCTGAGGATCTCATATGCTTCCTCCTGCAAGCCAAATATCTCTCAGCTGTACAAGATGAAGCGTAGCCAGGTTTCAACCAGCAAGGAGTAGGTAAAAGAAGAAGAGTAGACGCATTAGTTTAAAACTTACGTTCTGAATACATTTTCATGTTCTGAACTGTTATTAAAGATTAAGAAAGTGTGTTGCGTGTTGTTCTTTCTCTCTCCTCTTTTCCCGTGCAACTGCTATTTATCGAATACTCAATGCGGCCCAGCCTCACTCAGACTTTATCTAATGTGGCCCCCAGGTAATTTGAGTTTGAGACCCCTCTCTAGACCAATGCCTGTGGCCGTGAGAAGTCATCAAAGAAACAGGAAATTAAGCAGTTTTTTGCCAGCATGCTATATGCAAATCGTAAATAATATCCCAAAGAACCTGATCATTTTTATGAACCTGTGTCTCTAGATGTGATGTTCCAAATCTGAATATCTGACCAAAAAACAAGTACTAAATGCATTTTACAAACATACAGTCAAAGTGGTGGCAAATCTGTTATCCAATATGGCTAACTTCCTGTTCATCAAAGAGCCATGCACCAATTCAGCTTTTGCATTGTCTTATTGTTCTCTATCACTGTTCTGAATTTTGTTTGCCTACTTTGCTTGTTCCCACTCACATAAGGATCCACTTCTAGGCGTCGCTGTTGAGTCAGGTCACTTTGAGCATTGTCGCAATGCCTGTTATATCAAATTTTTCACTGGTCCGGTCAATCTCAAACTCAGTTTGGGGACTTTACTTGACGTTTAAGCCCTCAAAATCGCAAGGAAAAATAATAATAGAGAAGAAGAACCTGGCAAAAAAACAATAGCCCTTGCCAATTAATTTGTTACTGCTCCGGCCAACAATACTGAATATTTAAAGGGTATTACATTATACATATACATATAAAGGGATAATAGGGATGTTGAGACTATTCAGTTAATTGGTAATTATGATTATACAAGTCTCAATATAATCTTAAAAACAAAAAAATCATGAGAATTAAAAGAAAGAAAGAAAAAGGTTTTAATTCAAATTATACTCAAAATGTAAACCTCACTGCTTTATTCAGTTTACAGTTTATACCGGGTTTGGGTTATGTATGGTTAAAATGAGTTTTACAAAGTCTGTTTTAGTTTTTGCCCTTTGGTTCTTTCTTGTCAACAAATGTTAGTAATATATTTTGTGTCTACAGCTCTGAAGTCATCCCCCTCAAAGAAAGGCAGAGTGTCTCTCACAGTGCCCAGTAACAAGTGTCTAATAGGACCTGGGGCAGCGTGGTCGGCCAGTCAGCTGACCTCAGAGAGGGACGAGAACATCTACGACCTGAGAGGAGCCCGCAGCTTCCCCACCCTTGAGGATGAAGGTACATACTTACAAAGGACATGGACACTCATAATACAACAATTATAAGTAAATCCATTTTTAAATGTACATTATTTCTGTTTGATAGTCTACTGGTATAGCCCTGCATTTACTCAAAAATATCATCCAAATGCACCTGGTAAACTGATATACTTGTAATCTATACTGTACATCCTACACTTTCGTTAATGGCTCTGCTCCCTTTCACCAGTCCCCGAAAGAAATCATAGTACTGGTCTTTAGAGAATAATGGTTGGGGACCACTGATATAAACCAAAAAATGTTTTGTTGTCTCCAGGGCGACCTGATCTTCTTCCTTGCACTCCTCCCTCATTTGAAGAAGCCACAACAGCTTCCATCGCCACCACTCTGTCGTCCACAACTTCACTGTCCATCCCCGAGAGATCGCCCTCGGACACAGCCGAGCACCCGCGATACAGGTTCAAACTATTGTAAAAAGAAAATTATTATTTAAAAAAAATACACTTTTTAACCTACAAAATCAAATTATTTGGTTCCATGTCTGCAATGTTCCATGTCCTAAAATTCTAGTTAACATTCGAAAGCTGTATTGTATACACCCACAAATACTGTCCAAAATTACATTACATTATAAACTTGGCTTGATCATTTTGATGAGGGTCTTTCACTAGTTCAGAAAAATCTTAATATGCAAAAGAAATAATTGTTAGACTAGTTTGCTAATCCAAAAAATAATTGCTTACTAGTCAACTACTTAAATAATGGGTAGTTGCAGCCCTAGTCATCAGAGGTTATAATATTCCTATAATGGAAACATCAATACAGTACTGACTATAAAGGTCAGACACAAACGAACCAGCAAAAACTTAGTGTAGCCAGTTTAAAAATACAAATATCTTTTGGCAAGTATATTTCTACTAGAGAGTCAATAGTCTCGTTGTGCTCTGCTATTAACACAGTGTTTCTGTGTCCAGGCGGCACACCCAGTCCCTCAGCCACGACGTAAGGTGAGTGTTGGCCCTTACCACAGTTTTTTTACCCTATTAACCATATAAAACTGGATTTATTTGGTGTTTTTTAGTCTTAGCTTCATGTTGTCACTGTGTTTGGGTGTGGTGGGCGGTGGGGAAAAGTCTATTTATGACTGGGCTCTTTCTCCTGCTCCAGTCTGTGCCTCTGCTCATGTTGTTTTTATGTGTTTTCGGGGGTTTTCAGGACACAGGAGGAGCTTCGGGTGCGAGAGGAGGACCAGCAGACCATCACTGTGGAGGTGGAGTTGAAACGGCCTGATAGTGAACCCACTTTCTCTGTCCCGGAGACGCCTCCTAAACTCAGGTAACCCAGCAACAAGAATGATATTGAGTATTATAAGAAAATACTCACTTACACAAGAATCACTCATTTACTACAATCAGTGTGTTATTCTTGTGTGTTACATAGATCAAGAGTAGTGAATAACAAGTGAATAACAAGTGAATAACAGTTTTTAGATACCATCATTAGACAGCTAGTTATTATTATGGCCTTTTATTGACATAACATTGAAATTTGTGCAATATAAGAATAATGAGTATATCCGTTTATAAGAAAAGCTGTGAAAGAAAATTAAAAGCACACAGGTTTGTAAAGTAATTTTTTTTCCTGTTTTGTTGAGTAATTTTTTAATTTTCAGATTGATTTAAGAAAATTTGTCATTGAAATGTATTTACATTTTTTTTCAATATACTAGCATATTGCCATCCCGGTCTCAACAAAGCAGATATGTTAGACCCATATAAAAGGCAATTTTACAAAGAGAGTTTTATACCTGAACCAGAGAGAACCAGAATTCACCAACTCACTAATTTGATTCTCAAAAACGTGACCGTACTCCACTACGTACTAATTACTGCGTGACCTTAATGATTTCAGTGAGTGAGTCAGTACAGTGCAGATTTGTCTATATAAATAACCTGTCTCACCTATGCAAAGGCAGCTGTTGGATTAGCACACACTTTCAGACATTAAAGACAACAGGAGAGCAGCCTGACCTGTTTACCCCTGTGCTGACCTGGGACATATCTGGATTCTGGACCACAGTATTTGGGTTATGAGCAAGCATGTGAACATGCTTGTAAAAATCTGTGCTCTGTCTGTCTCTATGGGGGGGACTAAGGGGACCTAACATGGGGGTTTGAGTCTGTAGAATCAGGGCAGTGGGACAAAATGCCACTGGCTGCACTCATTAATCTGAAATGACCTGATTGGTAGAAAAAATATTTTAATTAAAGCAATTGTCTGTGACAGTTCAAATCCCACTAAATTGTGGTTATTTGTCTTTTTTTATGGTAAATGTGACTATTTTACTGCTAGGAAATACTTTAAACAGTTTTTAAGACTTTCTTCACTATATTAAAAAAGCAAAACATTTAATTAAGAGGAAAGGTGATTCCAGTAGGTTAAAATTGCCCACTCACATCTGTTCTTTTCACCTTTTTTCTTTTCTTTTTTTTTTTTTTTTTTTGTAAGTTAGCCAAAAATATGGTTCATACCTCTGTTTACTTGACCAGTATTAATCTGCTTTGCCCATATCCTGTATAATAATCAAGTGACCAGAGTATGCTATATGTAGAGCAGTTGTTTTCATAATGCAAGGGTACAGGAAAATAGTTGGAGGTGCTTTTTACGTGTTGGCATCTGGGCACCCTCCTCTGCTCCTTCATGTTGCAAGTCTTTTCAGGCGGGTGGAGTGTTGTGCCCTTTGTTCCTTGAAGCTTCAGATCCTCCTTTCCCATTGTTATAAAGCACTCTTCCTCTCTTAGAGAAGGGGGCTCCTCTACCTTCTTGGACAGCTCTTTGTTTTCCTTGTTGATCACATCTCCACCAACTTTAGCGCATGTTGTTTGAGTGCCCATTATTGGTGCTCTCTCCCATTTTTGTTCAGCGTCATGACACTTGTCTTGAAATTGTTATGCAGACACTTACAAGAGATGTTTATTGTTAACAAACTTAATTGTACACCATAGAATTAGTTGCAGTGGCCTTTGATTAAGAGTGCTTATATGATTGAAAGATTTTATATACATTTTACATATAGGGTTAATTTTAGACCTACTTTCACAATCTGTGTTTGAAATGTGCCCATTGTATGTCTTAGGGCTATATTTTGGTAAAAAGAGATGTCAAATAAATTATGGATAGAGCCAAGCCCATTCCAAGAAAATGACACAGAGGGGTAGGTCAGCAGAGGGGCAGATGTGGGGTATCAGGGTGTGGTTGTTGAGGGAAACCATGTGTCTAATTGAGTCTGAGGCAAAGGAGGCCATGACTAGACATATGGCTTGAGGCACTGGAGATGGCACAAAGAGGCGGGATAACAGAGAGCAGCAAGGGCAGTGAAGGCCACTGATTTGGCATTGTGATTCCAATGGCTTATTTAGGCTGTTGAGGGAGGCGGAAATTAGAAATTTGAATAAATAAAGGTATGAATATTTTTTTTTATTAATATAGACTTTTGACATAAAGCTAAAAGTATAGACAAGTGCTCATGATGTTTGTTAAATGCAAAGTGGATGTGTGTCAATCCTCTGTAATAGTTGCTGATCCTGGAAAAACAATACAGGATTGTGAGGCAGCAGATAGACAACTGGCACATCTTTAAGCTTAAAATGCTTAACCACGCACTCACACAGCTGTAGAGTTCAGCGGCCTCGTCTTGTCCAATAAAAACACAGACGTGATGCCAAGTGACCCGATTAATGGTCCATAATGTATGAAACTGCTGTGGTTGCGTCTTCATGGAGATATGTTTTTAAAGCAGTTTTCTACAGTATGGATGTTCAAAAACATGCCTTATCATCACTTATTTTTACATTGTTTGAAAACTCATCCCCCTTTCTTACAGTGATGTCCAGGAGGTAGATGGTGCCGGAGTAGAGGCAGCGGTCCCTTGCAGCTCCATTGACCCTGAAGTCCCCTCCTCCTCAACCCCCATGAGCGCAGACGTGCCCCCCTCCAGTCCAAAAGTTGTGGTGGAGGAGGCAGACCCACCCAGCCAAGTGTCTGGATCAGGGTGTACCAGCCAGGCCTCTGTCGACGACGAGGATGATGTGCCAATCACAGATATTTACCTTGTAAGACCCACAGAGCACATAACTCATCATAAATAGGATGTCATAACCTTAAGGTGCACTATGTAACTTTCATGTATGCATCCCCATGGAGATGTTATTGCTTTGCCTTGAATGTTCCACTATTTGGCATTAAACTCATCCAACTGTGTATTCAGTATTTATTTATTCATTGTAACTGTGACCAAGATATGGCTTGTTACTTGGCCTGGCTTGTCTCAATGGAGATAAATAAGTGTAATGCCATGGAACATTTTAGGCAAAGCAATAACAGCTCCATGGAGACAAGCAGGTCAGTGAGCCCACCAGAAAAGTTATATATTGTGCACCTTCAAGTCATTTCATTATCACATTCATACATATACACATAGCAATACATTTAAATAAGGAAGAAGGGTAAACAAATACTAATTAAACAAATTAAACCTTATATTAATATGCAGTAATCACACTGAAGCTCATTTTGTCAGGCAAAATGTAACAATCTGTACATTTAATAGTTATAATAGAAATACTAAATCCTCAGTATCTCATAGTTTTACCTCATCTGGACTGAGCTGTGTGGTGTTTTCCTAATTCTTACAGAGGCGTTAACAGGAGGACCTCAGAAACCCATTTGAATCCAGCTGGTATGAGAAACATGGTGTGAACTTATTGCTTACAGTTTGCAGTGTTAAATTGGGTTGTGGTGTTGAAGTGACTTATAAAAGCATGCTCAGTTCACTGTTTTTACATAGACACATTGAGTGAGTCAGCTGGCGTGATTTAGGTGCTTTTTTTTTTAGCTTTGGAAAGCTTTTTCTGTGTTGTCAAATGGCAGGTCTATATATCTTGATCAAAAGGCTTTCAGATTTTGTAGTGTAAGAGAAAGTAGCCCTTATGTGTACACAGAGAAACAAGGCTAAACATTTAAAGGAATTTTTTTTAAATATCTAATCTGAAATCAGCAGTCACTTTGGTGAGTGTCAGGTTCTGTGCCAGTGATAGCAGCTACAGATAGGACTGTTCTCATTTAACACAGCGTCTACAAGGTGTCTTCTATCAGCAGTTAGACAATCAGGTATATAATGTCAATGAGTTTGCATGTTCATATATGAATGTAAGAATGCATGTTTTTAAGGTATATTTAACATTTAAACACAATAATAATATAACAATTGCAAGACAGATGAGTTTAGTGCCATTTTGCAGAACGTTCCAGGCAAAGCAATAAAAAACATGTAGTGGATCCCTTCACCAGACAAGTTACATAGGGTACATTTAAATGTATCTTTAAAGGTGCACTGTGTAACTTGTCCCATGGAGGGTCCGTCACCTGCTTGTCTTCATGGAGATTTGCCTAGAATGTTCTGCAGTATAACCACAACCCTGCGAATTTCCATAGAGACTTGCAAGCCAAATTGTAGCATACTGTGTATAATTATTAGTTTAATGCCATACTGTGGACAATTTAAACCAAAGCATTAATATCTCCATGGAGACAAACAGGTTGCAGACCCTCTCCAGAAAAGTTACACAGTGCACCTTTTCATCTACACTAAAACTACAGTCCACTTGCACACAGAGAACATTTCTCTTTGAATAGAACTACAGCCTTTTGCACTGCTAATATCTCAGTTGTTCTGCCTCATGGCTCATTCATGCTTCAGAAACAGATGACACACAGCAGCAGGAGGCTCTAGCGCTGCAGGAGGCAAAGGCAGAAAAATGAAGTTCACTGCAGATACTCTAGGCAATGCAGAAGTCACTCTCTGCTCAAATCAAAAAGGATGGTTGATTCTCATTTTGAACAAGATAACCAAATCAAAAGTTGAAGCTGAGACTACAATATGTCTTTTTCACATAGTAACTGAAGTTTTTTCATATTACCATAGGTTGTCCTACAGATAATTCCTAAACAATTAGACATAACAGTCAAAGGCAACATCATTTCTATCAAATAAAATAAATCATGTTTGATTGTGTCCAAGAATTATAACATGAATTGGATAAAGTAAAAATAATAATACATAACAGTTGTAGTGCTTTTCACAAGACTCAAAGACACTTCACACAGTTCAAAAAAGATAAAACACTAATGAAAGAAACAGATTTTCAGGGCTTTTTTGAAGTTGAAGAGTGTGGATGAGTTTCTGATGTGAAAAGTGTAATAGATTTGATTCACACACTTGACCTGCTGGGTGATGATACGGTGATGTGAGTGGAGCTGGAGTTGAAGACAGGTCGCTCAGTGTGATTAAATAATTTAGCCCTTATGGCCGCTCTTATCACTTACTTTCCACCGTTCCTCTCTTTCACCCTCTTTTCATCTGTTTTAAGTTCTTTCATTCATTTTAGTGTTATTTCTTTCCATTTCTACCAGTTCTTTCTTTATTGTTACATAAATATAATGGTGTGGCAGGATAAAAATACAGTGTGCCAGACTTGAGAATTCGTCTGTCATCACTGACTCACCCACATCCAACACGTTCACAACAACTTTTCTATTTTCACTTCTGTATGCTTTTTTGATTGTGTTATTTCACCTCTGTCATGTCTTCCTCTCTTTTCATAGTTCTGTTTTTATTTTTTATTTGTCCATCTGCTGTGCACCTCTTCTGTCAGTTTCCTGATGGTAGGACATGGGTGGTGTCTCCTTTTCGCCAAAAGAGGAAATGCCAGCCGAGTTGGCCCGTAAGTGTGTCCAGACAGTGCCCCCAGGCCCGGCTGTTGACATATGAGTGAACCCCTCCCTCAATTAGATGCAATAGCAATGTAATAGTGTGTAACAGTCTTCCTGTTTGTAGATTATGTTGCAGAGGGAGTTTTTTAAAATTTATGCAACCATGAGCTATGACAGGTTTTTATGTTTTTTCTATTTGCTTTGGTTGGATAGTATATCAGAAAAGACAGAAAAGACAAGTAACGTATTGATGATATTGTGATCGTACTGTGTGATGGTGTGTAAGCCGTCTATAACTTATATACAAATAATTATACAAATGAACAAGAGGGAATTCATCAGTTGGTTCAGCAGAGTCCCATGGGTTTATAAAGATAGGCCAAGGCACTCTGATTAGTTAAGGACATGGCATGGACAAAGATACATTTAGACCTATATAATCTTCACCAGGGCTTAGAATATATTTTTATGTGCTTCTTTGTCTTTAGTATTCTTGGTCATGTGTTGCAAAAGTAAACTCAACCCATTCATTGTTAACCTATTATTTATTAAATATATTGATATAACATGCATAGTTTGATCATTTTGCTTTTAAATGATTGTGCCTTGAGTAAACAAAAATGTTTCTGCTGCTGGCTGTGTCAAATCTTGCTTTTTCTTTGCTCTAAAGGTGTGTTAGTGTGGTTTGTAGTGTAAAAATGCCTATATACTCCCTGTGGTGAAAAGACGGCATTACTGTAGGCAGAAAAACAAAAGATGAGGAGTTGGTTCTTTATTTGATTTAGTTGTTTACTGACAGCTCGCTTCATCCCTCTAGCATCAGAGTGGATCTTGTGTGCAAGAAAGGCAGTCAGCTTTCTCTCCATAGACCAACCAGACATAACATTGTAACAACTGACGAAAGTGAAGACAAGATTCAAAATGGCTATGCTTGGATAGATTAGTCAAAAAGTAACATTTTTCAACAAAATATATCAAAAGAAAAAAAAATTCAAAAGGAATATACCAGGCTCAAAGAGAATGAATGAAACTTTGGTTGGTCTGATTTCACATAAATTGTCTTTGATTTTTATGCTGATGATTAATGATGATATTAAGTAAACCACGTTTATTGGTGATTACCAAAAATACACAGTCATAAAGTTATGTCTGATTGGTGGTTTGCCATTTTGGTTGCTACCTACAGTTTCTGAAGACATAAGCAAAGCGTTATTAAGGTCTGCTGGATGTAAGTGGCATACTGTGTAGTTGAGGAAGCTGCTTGTGACCCTCCTAGCATCTATCTCCTCCCTCCTTCCTACCCTCTCCCCGCTCCTCATACTCCCTGTTTTGGCTGCAGCACCTCATCTTTCACAAATGGGGCAACTTAGAGATGTCAAAAACACATCTAGACATGTTACTGCATTCCCTTTCTCAGTAATGCATCTTTATGTACTTTTCTAACAGCTAAAAGGATTACTACATCCTTTTTATACATTTTGACGTGATGTTTCAAATCACACTTTTCCAATGTCTCTCAGCATCTCCTAATGCATCCCTAACTTTCATTTCCTGTCTTGTCCTCTCTTCTTGTCTATCTCCCTGCCTGCCCCTGCTGCTTGTCTGTGTGGCCCTTTCCCTCTGTCTCTCTGGCGCCCTCTGCTGTGGTGGGTGTGTAAAAGCCTCCAGAGGACAAGACCTGGGTGTATTCTCCGCTACACTATGAGTCTGAGGCCGTGCCAGATGGGGATTGGGAAAAAGAGACAGTAAGTGATGATAAAAGTAGTTTCTTTGAGGATTCGGATACTAGGTATAAGGTATAAGGAGTATAGGCTACAGTATGAACTACTCATCTGCATCAAGACATTTTCATCAGTATCATTTAGTCCACCATGACCAGTCATCAAAGTCTGTCTAACAACAAACTGCTCAGTATTTTCTACATACATCTATTTACTTGCTTGAGAGGGAGGTGCTATTTTAGCCACATGCTGCTACATGTATCCAATATACTGCAGCCGTTGCAACTTGGGTTATCTACTCTGATTGGAATCTTGTAAAAAAGAACTATAAGAAGTATGCAAACAAATGAATGGGAAGCCACTAAAAGAACAGTGGACCTCATATACCCAAGCTTTGTTAATTAGGCCTTAATTTAGGTCATTTTCTTATTCAAATACAGGTTCAGTTCAGCTTTTCTACCAATTATAATAAAGTCAATAAACAGACAATATACTTATTGTGGAATAAAACAATATGCTAAAATATTATTAACATTTCTATTGCCTTGGTTGTGGTACCTGCACCTCATTTTGAAAACCATTGCTCCAAAATGGTTGTTTTTATAATTCCAATGTCATTTTGGTCACATTCATAACACTAATCTGACTTCCTTTTCCCTCACAGTAAACCCTGACAGAAACATCTTGGCAATGGGAGAAGCCAGTCTGTGATCCAGACTTCAGCAGTAGCCCTGGGATCTCGGTCTGGACATGGATATATGAACTTTAAAGACTGAACCCTCCAGGGATCTAAGGTGACTACAGTCCTGTGATGAAGATCCTGACAGTGAAGACAACATCACAAAAGCTGAATTGCTGAGTGAATATGTGTAATAAGTGTACCATAAAGCTCTAGTCGTAAGTGTCCAACATCAAAATATTTTTCTGTGTTTTTTCATGCACTCTAAATGGTCCAATTATTCAACTAACTCCACAAAGCAATTCATTACTAAACTACAACTCGGCCAATCAGAGCCCTCCACCATACTGAAGATCTAAATGTGGCATTGACTTTTGTAAACTGTGTGCTATCTCTTACCAGCAAAACCAGTGTCCACCCAAGAGATCACTGATTTTATTGTGCCAAGTATCAAGGTGGATTTAAGGAGCTTCATCATAAATACACCAACAATTGGTCTATGTATGTTCAATTGCTATTACTGTTATTTATATTAAATGTTTTTATTTATTATTTTTCACATGTAACTGAACATTTCATTTATTATTTGCACCCAAAGATATTTTAAGACTCTTTTTACTTAGTCTTAACATTACTAGTATTTTTATGTAAATTAAGTGTTATTGACTCTGTCACTATTTTGCTCTTTCTTTCACAAATGCATTTTTTTAGTGGGGGCTGTTACCTTAACATCAACATCGCTGGACTCAAAAAAAATTGTATGGTCATCATGTTTACATTTTTTGAAAAAAAAAAATAATAATAACAATAACAATAACAATAATAATAATTTTGGGACAATTCTCTTTCACCTCATCACTCCAAAACTAGTCCACTGGATAACTCAGAAGTTGTTGTGCTGCAGTCACTTGTGTATAAGTTTTCTGTCTATTGAATGAAGTATGCTATAGTTTATGAATGGGTTGAATGTTGCAAAGGGGACATACGTACAGGCCAAAAACTACATTGCAGATCTAAATTTAGTCTCCTGTGGAAAATGTGGAATTATTTCAGCAGTTACTTTACTTTAAAAAGTAAAACGTATAGATCAATCATTATTTTTGTATGCTCCTTCTGTTACAAGTCACAACCCTTTGCATTTGTATTGTTTTGGTGCTTTAAATATAATTGGGAAAAGTAACATTTTATGCATAAACTTTTGAAATAATTCCACAATTCCATAATATTCTTTTACTGTTGTGCTACTGCATTTTGATCAGAAAGCAAAATATTGTTATTGTTTTCTACTCAAATACCTTTTTAAGTGTAATATCAAAGCTACTGACACAATTGGAGAGTTTATATTGTTTAATTTGTGTACATTTTGTGCATTTGTTTCAATAGCAGGACAGATAAGTATCACCAGAGGTGTAAAATAGTTTAACTCATTAGATGTGCAGTTGTAAACATTTCACTTTTGTTCACCAGACTGAGACAAGAGCAGCAATATTATGTACAATCTTTTCAGTTGATGCCTTATTGAAAAAAAGCCTGTTGTTTCTCACTTGTGCTGGTGTATTTAATTTAATAGTCTTTAGTCGTGCTCCTGAGAATGTGTACATAAAATTATAAATACATATATAAAGATATACAAATATATTTTCCATTTGAATCGGAGAATATTATTTTTATTTGTTTTTATTTTTGCTGCTGGGCAAGAAACAATTGCAATCTAATACATTTTCTGTATCATATTCTTGTGTGTTCAATGAGGAGCAGCTGCTGTATATTTAGGTCTATAATCTGGAGCTGTTTCTTTGTAAAAATGTCCCCAAAAAATAATGGACAGATCAGCGGGATCTACTGTAAAACATGCAAGTCTATAGAGATTCTTCCAACTGTTCTGCTGTGTTTGTTGTGTATGTGTTTTTCGCTGTGTGCCCTCATCCAATAGAGCGAGTCCTTTGCAGAGACATAGCATGATTTCCAATGAATATGCATATCAGAAATGTGTATTTATGTATATCTGTTGTACATTCATCTATTTACGAGTGCAGATAAATAGATGGCTACGTGTGTGCGCGTGTGTCTGGACTCAATCAAAAATGAAAATAAAATAAAAGATGTTCTATAAGATGCTTCCATGTATTATTTCTCTATTTTGGAAAAACATATTTGTAATGTTTCAGTGTTATGTTTTATGTAGGGTGATGTCCCTTTTTACCCAGTTTTGAGCCCTGTGTCCCCTGTACCATTAGATTTATACTAAACCAGTGATTTGTTCCAGTTTTACACAAGAAATGTCCCAGGACTAAAACAGGACTATCACAATATTTACTAATCTGATCCTCACCAACAGTAAAGAGGAGCATAAATTGTCACTTGTTTTGCCAAAATACAGAAGTCTGTGTTTGTGAATGACCGTAAAGCAAAAAAAAAAAAAAAAATGCAGGAACAGAAGTCCCTCAGATTATGACTGATACGAAATTGCACAATCTTACACGCTCTTTTCACAGTTTTATTTATACCAATCATCCCAACCCAGGTGTGTCCCAGTTTAGAATTTTTTTTATCTAGTCACCCTAATTTCCAGAGAAAGATTATTTTCCTATATGGTTTACTCTGAAGAAAAAACACCAAGATACTAAAACTAAAGGAATTAAGATATTCAAAGAAAATATCATCAAAAAGCACCTGTTATACTCAGTATTTACTCAGTATTGTATGAATGTGGAATATCTCAAGTATGTAATGAGGCTACAGTGAGGTCATCACATTACAACACACTACACCTCTGTAGTTGCAGGCCTGCCTCCAGTCTCTACTTATGATCCTTCAGCTTAAATTCATTGGAACTGACCATGACTAAGAGGATAATCGTATCACTTAAGATGAACTGTTGAGTTGTTTTTTTGTCATTAAGTTGATTTTGATTGCAATACAACATACAGGTAGCTATTTTTCAGCTAGAGTAGATAATACTCTGTTGCCCAATTGCCAATTTATGGTAATTTTTTTTTCGGTCGTCACATTTAGAAGAGCAAGAAATCCTCCTTATCTTACTTTTCTCATTGTTGATTGGTAGAATTGGTTGTCGGTCAAAACATGGGCCTCTCTGATTGGCCAAAACGGACGCTGTCAAGCTCACGTGCTCCTTCCCTTCCTGAACAGCTTCTGCGTACACTGTCTTGTTTTTATTTCTCAAACGTCGTTCATAAGGGAGGATTTAAAATGGGAGCTAGGGATGACGAATACGACTACTTATTTAAAGGTATTTTCCAAATGGGTAACTAGTTAGTACGTTGTTGTTTCGTGTTAAAAAAAAAACTTATCAGCGGTAGTGAGGAAGTGTCACTCCCCGATTAGCTAAGCATTCGTTATGCTAATGTTAGCTTCTCCACAAGTAGCAAAAACAACAGACCAGCTGTAACTTAACAATGCAACAAAAACCTTCCTTTTATTTCTACAAAACCTGTGCAACTCTTTACAGGTTATAATTTAGAGTTATTCTCTTCTGTAACGTTTCGTGTAAAGTACATTCTTGGGCTGTTTTACGCAATTCAAATGAGACACAAGTAGCCGCTCTGTCCAGAGCCATTACTCACTTAGCGGGACCAATCATCATCATTTATGCTTTTCAGAGTTTACTTTCTATTGTCAAAGACATATTTGAATACATTATATTGAAGTGTGAGTGCTAGTGTCAGGCTTTGCTCGTTTTTGGAATGTTATTTAATGTTAATTGTACGTGTGTCCTATAAATGTTCTCAGAAGTTATTTGATGACCTGTAATGGTGAAGCCTGCGCAGACCATCATGAAATGTTCACCTTTATTTGTTTGTTCTGATTTTAGTGGTGTTGATTGGTGACTCAGGAGTGGGGAAGAGTAACCTCTTGTCACGATTTACAAGAAATGAGTTTAACCTGGAGAGCAAAAGCACCATCGGAGTGGAGTTTGCCACCAGGAGCATCCAGGTGGATGGCAAGACGATAAAGGCTCAGATTTGGGACACAGCAGGACAGGAACGCTACAGAGCCATCACTTCAGCGTGCGTGGGACCTTCTTTAAATTCTGTACATTTGGTTGCATAGAGGTAATGTTGACCAGTCCCGTTTCTTCTGCAGGTATTACCGAGGGGCAGTGGGGGCTCTTCTGGTGTATGACATCGCCAAGCACCTGACGTATGAAAATGTGGAGCGCTGGCTGAAGGAGCTCAGGGACCATGCTGACAACAATATTGTCATAATGTTAGTAGGAAACAAAAGTGATCTGCGCCACCTCAGAGCTGTGCCCACAGATGAGGCCAGAGCCTTCTCAGGTATCTCCATTTAATTAGGATTAATTATTTTATTATCATATAATCCTGATTATTTTTGCTCTGTCTTTTAGAAAAGAATACACTCTCATTTATTGAAACTTCAGCCTTGGATTCAACAAATGTTGAAGAAGCTTTCAAGAACATTCTCACAGGTATTGACCCAAGGGACTTATAATGAGCCCTTTTCCTTTTCAGGACACAAAAGCCCTAATCTGCTGTTATTGTTTTACAGAGATTTACCGTATAGTGTCTCAGAAACAGATTTCTGACCGATCTGGACATGATGACTCTCCTGGAAATAACGTTGTGGATATAAGTGTTCCTCCCACGACAGACGGGCAGCGAGGCAACAAACTGCCGTGCTGCCAAAGCGCCTGACACCTCTCTGTCCCTCACACACCTTTATTATTACCTCTGCTTTCTGTCAAGCATCCAGCTGCTGTCACAATCAAACACCAGAAACATGTGGCTGTAGTCTCACATTCCTCATGCTGGGTTCCTCTTTGATCAGTCTCTGTCTTCCTCTGATTTTGAATGTGTTTGAATATCTTGGAGCCACACAAGCCTATTTGGAGTAAAACCTGAGGCCGTAGTGAGTTTTTATGTGATGATTCTATTGACCTGCTCTCATTGAAGAGTGGAGAGGGATCACTGAGCTTATTGTGCTCTGAGTAATGTGTCATCAACAGACCTAATCTGCCTTTTGCATCAGGTTTAAAGACTCTAGTGTTATGAATTACATTTGATTTTCTGATTGCCTATTTTTCTCCTGCACTGCGCCTGTTGTGGCGTGACCCAGAGTCTGGGCTGGTAGTGTCTAACTCCAATGGGCAGGTGTACAATGTAAACTTTCTGTGTGCATTGATGTGTGTTTTAATTCTAGTACACCAAAGCAAGTCTCATCAGTGTCGTTTTCAGGTCTGATAAGACAATTTTAACTGTTAAAAGCAATAAATTAAATACTAGTCACTTAGAATAAATGTGTATCAATATTGCTTTTGAAGCCAGTCTATTGCACTTGCGTCCTTTTATTTCAGCAAAACAAATTTGTGCATATTTTTGTCTGCTTTCAAGGGAAACGTGGTTGCACTCTCAAAGATTGGGTTCTGACTGTGGACCATACGAAAGATGTAATCAAAGGGTTTATTTGCAATTTGACACTACAAATAATAAATTCACATTGTCAGCTGAATTGTCTTTGTCATTTTACAATGCATGTGGAAAAATAGTTGTGCTTTTTGCTACCATTTGAACTCTGAGATTTGTACAGCACTGAGCCATTTACTACTCTAAAACAACTAGCAAAGCAAGAATAATTCAAGATTTTGGAGTTTAAAAAGGAGAAAACAGGATTTTATTTTTCAGCTATTTTATTGTAAATGCATGTTGAACTGGGAGTGAAACAAGGGCAAGAAAGCCAGCTATTTTCAATAAATACATGATTAGAAGGTATTTGGCATGAAAACGTAAAAGATGGAGTTACTACAAAGCACTGTAAAGGCTTCTCAAGTTGTTAGTGACCATACTTTTTTAACTTTTTATTTATTTACACAGCACCATCTAGTGGCAACTATTAATAGTGTACCAACTTCATGTAAAAGTTGACGTGAGAGATTTTTCATTTGTCTGCTTACATCAGGGGTCTATCCCAGTGAAATAACTGAATTCAGGACTTTGTAAGACACTTATAGCTGCATCCTACATTGGCGTAAGCGGCTTAAAACCTCAACATATGACAAAGACTTGCTTAATTATGGCAAAATGGAAGAGCACATGTGAAAATGTACAATAAAATAACAAGAGACAAGTAGAAATCCAAAGGTAACAAAGCTTGTGGCCTCGGGAACTGAAAGTGCACAGGTGATGAAGTCAGGTGAGTAGAGGTAAAGTCACTGAGCCTCACAGACTCTGGCAGCACTGCAGTTTGCTCCCCTTCTGACTGTCTGTTGTTGGTGGGACACTGATGTCCACTACATTGTTTCCTGGAGACTCATCATGAGCAGATCTGTCAGCTATCTGCTTCTGTGATACTATACGGTATATTTCTGGGAAGACAAAAGAGAGAAAAAATTTGAAAGAAATATTAAAATAAAAATTCAGTATTTGGAGCATTTCTGAGATAAAGGATAGATTGCATATGTAAAAATCCCAGCTTCTAAATTTAAGCCTTCCTACCTGTTAAAATGTTCTTAAAGGCTTCTTCTACATTTGTGGAATCCAAAGCAGAGGTCTCAATAAATGACAAAGTGTTCTTTTCTGAAATAATAATGTGAAAGATTTGAATCAATATGTATTTTTACCATCACCTTTTCTTTTTTAACTGAATTTTGTGTTTATACCTGCAAAGGCTCTGGCCTCATCTGTGGGCACAGCTCTGAGGTGGCGCAGATCACTTTTGTTTCCTACTAACATTATGACAATGTTGTTGTCAGCATGGTCCCTGAGCTCCTTCAGCCAGCGCTCCACATTTTCATATGTCAGGTGCTTGGCGATGTCATACACTAGAAGCGCCCCCACTGCCCCTCGGTAATACCTGGAGAAGAAACGGGACTGGTCAACATTAACTTTGCACAACCAAATGTACAGAATTTAAAGGTCCCACGCACGCTGAAGTGATGGCTCTGTAGCGTTCCTGTCCTGCTGTGTCCCAAATCTGAGCCTTTATCGTCTTGCCGTCCACCTGGATGCTCCTGGTTGCAAACTCCACTCCGATAGTGCTTTTGCTCTCCAGGTTAAACTCATTTCTTGTAAATCTTGACAAGAGGTTACTCTTCCCCACTCCTGAGTCACCAATCAACACCACTAAAATCAGACAAAGTTTTGTCATTAGCAAGTACTTAAAATCATTCAAAAGTAAATCTGTATGTAACTGTGTGTGTGTAGGCCTGATGAATGTAGGTAGAATGTAGGTGAATCATCAAAATAGATTAAAAAAAATAATAATAATAAATACAATAAAGTCTGTTACAAACCATAACAGTACAATATTTCATAATTTATAGCTAATATTTAACAGTTTGAATTATGTTAGGTAATGCAAATCCTTCCTGTCTTAGATTTCCAGTTCATATCGACTGATGTTGTTACTGTATAAACCACATTACAAAGTTCCACTTTATGGCCATGGTAAAGGGAATCTGAACAGGAATCTATAATTCCTGGCTTGTCTACAACCTGCACATTACTGAAAATAAAGTGTTACAACAGTGAGTCAACTGCACCGTAATAACTTTGCAAACGATGCCGTAAATTGCTCCACCCATAGACACAGAAAAGCCGTGCTAACATAACACTACACACATAAAATATTGTTAAGCCTGTTGTAGAGCTGTTGCCAATATATCATTAAAGACCCAGTTCCCCGAATTAACCAATTTTTAATAAGATATGACGAAACGTTAAAACTCCTTGTTTAGTACAATTGTTTTAGCTAGCTCCCTGCTAACAGATGACATTTACCGGAGCAATGGTGCTAACGGAGTTAGCCCAAAGCTCAGCTGGATGACTCTTTGGTCTTTATTTATTCATATAGTAGCTTTAATCCTCTCACCTTTAAATAAGAAGTCATATTCGTCGTCTCGGTTCCCCATGGTCTATCCCGATCACCCCTCTCCAGACTCCGGCTGCGGTGATATGGTGAGTTTCCTCCGGTCTCCCGCTGCTCCCCGGTCCGGCCCCGTGACAGAGAGCGCGCCCCCTGCCGGAGGAGAGGACACAAGCATGTGAGTCTGCTCTGGGCTAATGTAAAAAGAAAAAAAGGCTTGATTTTTATTTCAAATTCAGTCAGGCTTTTTAAGGAAAATAAGCCGGAATGGAGGGGTTAAAATTGACGCTATCTTCTTAGACAGGTAAGACCTCTATAGGACACATAATTTATGATATTCTGTTTTAAATAGCCAAATAATTTATTTAATGCTGTTCTTTACCCATGTGTGACCTATGTTTAAAACATATCGCCAATTAAGACATATTGTTTTTTTGGTTCAGGGTCAGTGTCAAAGCTTATTCTGACTGTAGCAGCATTGTAATAGAAACTTGGATCATAAGATTAATTAAGTATGGTTTAGTCTACATCTAGGCTTTTTAGGTCTATTTAAATACTAGTCCTTTCACCTATTTAAAGGTACAATATGTAACTTTTCTCTTGAGTCCACCACTTGCACCACCTGCTTGACTTGTTGTTTTACCATGGGATATACAGTGTGACAATAAACCAAGACTGTCTTACAGTATATATTATTGCTCTAGTCTAAAATACCATGAAAAGCATGTATGGCCTCTTCACAGAACTTGGCTTGCCTGTCTCATCTAGTCATCTGCTTGTCTCCTTGAAGACAAACACGTTTAATGCCAGCCTGTGGAACATTATTGGCAAACCAACTGCATCTCCATGGAGACAAGCAGGTGGGGGACCCTTCAAATAAAAGTCTCATGGCGTAGGAAGGTGTTCCTACAATAATAGTAAGGGTAGTAAGTGACTTGTTTGATAGCTCTCTTTGATTGATTGATTGTGTCTACTTTGCCTTAATTCAACTTATGGGAACTTCCTTTGGCTGGTTTGACAGGTAATGTTGCCTATAGCCTATAGTTTCCAGTGGAGTCCCAAAGGTGCTTTCCATCCTTGTGAAAAGCTATGCGTCAGAAAACCTACCTGTAGATATTTTTACAACCTCCGCCCATTTGACAGATGAACCAATCAGAAGCAAGAGCCATGACACATGTCCCTAGCCCAGCCCTCTTTCTTTGTTAAGCCTATATACTTTGCTTTTCAAGAGATGGAAGAAGAGCCAGGTTAAAAGTCAATCTACAACAAAATAATTTTAAGCCTGCATTTTCATACAAGGAATGGCAAAAAGGACAGGACGCCTCAGACACCAACTGCCACACTGCTATTATGAAGGTTACTTGGAGAAAAGGTCTTTCAAAGATAAGGTAAGGTTACATAATATTAAGTAACTTTTTATTGTTTGTATTATTGCATTACATTATAATTATGATGATAAAATATTGTTAGGCCTAATTCCACTATAAGTGTGTTGCAGCACAACTCTTCAAATCAGGGTCATGCCAGTTTAATGAGTAACCAATGTGCTGTGCAGAAAGGTAGTTTTCAGTAAACTAGGTGTGACAGCAACTGGGAAAATGTTACCAGAAGTATTTTTTCTTACTGGAAGTAGAGACCATAACACTATTAAAAGAGGAAGGATTTGTTATAAATTCACTTTATCTGGAATTGGACTCAGCTGAGTACTTCACATTACTGCATTACTCTGTGACTGGTTGGACCGCTTTACGGCTTTAAACATAGGCTTGGTTAACAGGATTGAAGCGGACTGGCATGTCAAGCACTGATAAGAGACAATGAACAGTAAATACAAAGGATCAGCAAATATAATAAAGATTTCAGTGCAGTGGTAGCTTAGAATAGTTGAGAAATTACATCAGTGAAGGAAAATATAACAAAATTCCTTTACGCAAGCAAGTCTCTTGATAATGTTGAAACGCTCCTTTTTACCCTTTTACCAATAAGTGGTATATTAAGTGCCACAGTGACATAATACATTATTAGCCCTAATTAATGTATAGCTAATTGTCTATTGTTCTGAATTACAATATTAATAACAACACAATAGTTTGGATAAGAAGGGTACTCACATCATCCAAGCAATTCAGTGGTGAGGCTTTAAATATATATGCACATGTCTCAGGACTTAACCACATTTTCTCCTCCCAGTACCAATGCTAATATTATCAGTAGTTTCACCATGGAAGTATAGTTCTTATTATAGACTTATTATCCACAAATACCACCCTTGCGATATTTTTATTTCCTTGTGCGATTCTGTCAGTTGCATTACAAGAAAGTAGATGTAGTGCCAACTAAGCCTGTCACGATAAATACTACAACAACTTAACGTTCAATACATGATGGATGGAACAATCACTTTTGGGAGTTAGTATTTATTGTGGAGACTTTTTCTTTGCACTGATTGGACATATTTTGTTATTTTTGTGAATTATAATATGATTTGAACTGTAGAAGCCTGAATTATAAACTTCTAAGACTCATTATCGATACAAACTAACTATAATGTACATTTAGATCACATTTGGTGGGACAATTCAACTTAATGGTTTGGTTTCAATACTACTGTTTATCATCTACTCTACTAGTTTATCTTAACTTCACCGATATAAATTGCACTTCAAAATTTATTATCGTGACAACTATTGCGGGAATAATCTATCAATAAAATTATCTAACAGCAGCTATCAAACAATTTGGTAGGAAGAATGCAGTGAGATTGTATCAGTGTATGTTATATTCTTTATTTGTCTAGTTTGTCTCATTTTTTAATAGCTAGTGTTAGATAACAATTGACAACCACAAAAACAACATGCCAATGACTTTTGAGTGAAGTTGATGATTTACCGTAGCAAACTATTAAAAAGCCCCAGATATAAAATAATTTGTTGGCTATAGCTTAGAATCAAAATCAGTAAGTTTTATTGCTATTGTAAACAAAATTCACATACTAGGAAGCTGCTGCAGCGTTATGGTGCAACATAAAACAATGAATAATGGTATAAACAATGATAATATAAAAATAAGGGAATGCATTAAAATATAGTACACTGTGGGCAGAACAACAACAAAACTAATGCATTCCTGTATTTTGGGGCAGACATCACGGAAGCTGTGGACCTGTTTATGTGGAAACACACTGTTCTTTTTCAATGACAAAAGAGACTCAGATGTAAGTTCAGATTTGTTTTAACTTAAAACACTTTAACTAGTGTATCACATGTAGGAGTCTACTTTCACTCAGTCCATACATCTAAGACTAGTAATTGTTGTAATTATGCATTGTATTCTATATTATTTCATTATTTTAAACAGTACATAGAGAAAGTGGAGCTGAGTGATTTCGTCTCACTGACTGACGACAACAGCCTTGACCGAAACTTAGACGCAGCCAGAATGACCCTCCAACTCAAACAAGAAATCATCAAAATCACTGTGAGTCCAAAGTTGCATAATTCAGCTGCTGTTGTTGGAGAACTTGTTTTAATGTTTTCTGTATTTGCAGGCTCCTAATGCAGAGGCCAGGGAGCTGTGGAAAGGTTTCATCCACTCCATCGCTCACGTAAGAACTAGATCTGTTAAAGATGCACTGTATAGATCTGTTAAAGATGCACTGTATAATTTTTCTGGATGAGGTCTGTTTTCTGCTTGCCTTGCCAGCAAGATGAATTCTCTCGTAGTTTGTTTGCATTGAATTCTTTGCATACGATTGGAAACTGACCAATCACAGGGCAGTACTGTGGTTTGTGTGGAAGCCAGTGCCGAGTGAAGTATATATTTGAACGTTCCTCAATCATTGATTCTGGAAATATTGCTTTCCTTGGAATGTCAGTGTGGCATTACAATGGTGTAATGCAAAGAAGCTGTCTTCGCATTCAATAACATGTCCTTGTACTGCTATAATGTCACCTTGAAAAACATGCTGTGAGCAAGCTAGCCCCTACAGATCTATGCAAAGCAATAACATCTCCACAAAAACACGCAGTTACATAGTGCACCTTCAATTTATGGTACTTAAAAAAAGAATAATGAAGTTAAACATTTTATTGATTTATTTATTTTGCTTCTTGTGCAGTTGTCAGTCCCTTCATCTCTGAACCTACTTCCTGGACAGATCCACATACTCAAAGAGGCACTGGACAAGGAGAAGCTGAGATTAGAAAATAATACATCAGCTACAATTCCTAGTGATGCCAACTCTAGTCCATATATTAACCCATTAGCCGACATGCCTGTGTAAGTATGAGTATAATATTTTAAATAGCTCAGATCACTAAATGCACTGACTAAGATCCTGGTTGGTAGAGAGTGAGAGAAATACTTTACTGATCCCGAGGGAAATTCAAGTTTTGCTGCCGAAACATTTACACTGTGCTTCTCAGTGACCTTTGTGAGAAGCAAACTCAAAGGTCTCATTGCAGTTTAACTGGACACATTTTCTCATGGGGACAATAAAATCTAATCTTTATAGATAAATTCACATCAACCTTATGTGCTAAGGTTCCTCACTTTCCAGTCCTCTTGTGATAAGCCTCTATATGAATCTACATGGACATTTTAAACATCTTAATAACATTATAAATATGAGAAATTACACCCTTCTTCCAACTTTGTTTTGTCAACATTTCTTACAGCTGATTGTCCAGGTTTTGTCAGTATATTGTTTTTATTTTTCTGCATGAGGTTTCCTGTTCTGAGTTGAAGAAATTTTAAGAAAGATTTTTGTTTAGGTGAAATATATCTTGCAACTTCTGAAACCACTAGTGGTCATAATGTTTTCCTTGATTTGTGAATTAACTATTAAAGTCTTATTTTAGCTGTTACCACAAAGTGAACCGCCTGCAGGCTGAGCTGATGCTGGAGAGAGAGTCGATGAATGGAAACCTGCTCCTGAGACCTAGCGGCAATGGAGCCTTTGCTGTCACCACAAGACAAGTCCTGGACAAGTACGACTTTATTCATATAAACTCATTCATTCAACAGGATATTGTCTGCTGTGGTTGTTTGGCCTTTGAGTTTGTGAAAAGTTGAAGTAAATGTATTTCTGCTTTAACGGTCAGAGGTGAAAGAAGAACTTAACATCAGACATTTATTACTACTTTATTACAAGTGCTGTGAGTGCAAGCTTTTGTACAGTAAGGCAAAAAAATAATGCAAGCATATTTTTAAGAAGGTTTAGCAAAATATTTTCAGGTGGCAAATTATCTAAAATCCCTATTTAGTCATATTAACTTTAATAAAATGTATTTTACTACAATTGCAGTAAATGTTTTAGGGTTGCATGTTGATTCTGTAAAATCTCTGTTTAATATCAGTCCTGGAGTAAATTTTTAACTTAGCTTAAATAATTTACAACTTTATCCTCTTGTTTTGTTCCATCAGGCCAGAGTTTAAACACTACCACGTGTCACGAAGGCCTGAAGGCGGCTTTGCAATCGATGTAGAAGATCCAGTGAGTATTAACTGAGCCTGTTTGAGATTAATACAAACACTCAAATGAATGCTTCCTTACCATTTTGTAGTAACCCTTAATTAATAATCTCTTTATTGTATTATGTAATTGGCATGTTTTATTAAAGCTTATAAAAGTTGGGCAAGAAAACAGTGACTCATGTTTTCAATAAAAATATACAGCGGACTTGCATAACCTTTATAGACTCCAGTAAAGTTTAAGCGTGTGTACTGAACAATAGAATCATCAAAACTTGTATCCCTATTACACTGTTATGAAATTAAATAAAATAACATCTGTCAATTCAATACAACACGGCCAAATTCTTTTGTTCTGTACTCTATTATTAGTTTTATTATTGATACTGTCAGTATTAATCATAGTTTGGCTTGGAATTTTGTGATCCATATTTAGCCTAGGTTCCTTGTCTATCTTAAAAATCACAAAAGTGAGTTCATATGTGTTCGAATTTGATTTTCGCTGCATGCAATCATGTAATGTTGTGTGTAACATTTCTGCTCTTTTCTATAGATTCCCTGTGAGACACTGCACGACGTAATCAACTTTTTCATTCACAAAACAGACGGTTTACTGGCTCCACTGGTTCTAGAAGAAACGTACGAGAGGAGTATCAGTAAGTGTTCAAGATTACATAAAAAAATAGACCTTTTTGGGCTTTTTGTTTTGTTTAGTGAGATACACTGTGCTAATCTCCTTTAGGCCCTATCTCATGGCATATGTCTGTATTAGACCTGGTTTAGACCTTATTTACAGTTGTGGTTTAGACTCATTGAAGATCCAGTTAAATTCTGAAATTGTGACTGTACTCTTGCACATAATAACTTGTTTTTTTTCTTCTCTATAGCGTTTATTCAGTCAGATAATGAAAATGGAGAAAAGAGTATCCAGCACCCCTCGTCAAATCCCATCCCAAATGTTCCTCCAAAACCAGGTATTTTAGACTTTTGAAATACAAGTATTTTTTGCTGTGGATAAACATTCAAGAGCCTGAACAAACTATAAACAAAGGTCCTATATTATGCAAAATTGACTAAGGTTTAAGCCAGGTTCTCAATCATACCTGGAGTTGTGTTTTGTTTCATTCACATATGTTTAAATAATCCTTTATTATTAGTCTGTCTACATCTCCAAAGCAAAAAAATGCTCTGTTCCACCTTGTGATGTCATGAAGCAGTAGTTTTTTTTTTAGTTTTTACAACTATCTTTTAACTTTAGTTTAGAAGAGACTGGTCATTCCAAGGCTGAAATGATCTAAATGATTCTAGTGAAGGTGTATGGAGTTTTAAAAGACAGTGGAGAACTTCCTGTATTACCACATGACATCACAAAGTGTAAGTGGAGTGTTTTCTGTTTAAGAGAAGAGCTCATCTTAAAATATTGATGAGGAAACATCATAAATTAAAAAATACCTTTAATGATAGATTTACCTGGTATCACTTTACTCCACATTTCAACAGTAAATATCTGTTAAAAATAGTTGTGTTTTTGTAACAGTACAAGTCCTGACCTCAGTGCCAGAATCAGAGTCTGTAATTGAAGAGTATATCTACCTGAACGATGTTCGTGAGTATCTGACTCTGTTGAACACATCTGTCAATTGTCTCTGTCACAGTTCAAACTAAAACTGGCCAGACCTCATTCTTTCCGTACGTTTTCTAAAACTTGTGTTCTCAATAGCGATTGAAGAAAAGCCTGAAGTCTCCACCACTCCCCCTGCGCAAGTCACAGGTGTGTGGGGAAAATAGATTTTTCTAAATGTAAACCTGTGTATCCAGATACTTTGCTATATTTCAATTGCATTACTTAACTTAACTGATAGTTATTACTAAATTTAGTCTACCTAAAATATGCTAATTTATCATAAAATATTACATTGGAAATTTTTTTTCTCACAGAGGTCACAAAGCCTCCAAAGAAAGCCATAATGCCACCTGTTCCTGCACCTCGCAGAATATCCTCTGCACCTGTATTAAACCAACAGCCAGCTGCAGCCCTCATTGCAACAGCGCCCCCTACAGTCATCCGAGGCAGATGTAACACAAATCCAATGGGAGAAGGTAGGTTCACTTTGAAGGTCACACCACCCCTAATGGCTGATAAGCTTTGAGAAATATTTGAAGATTGATCATCTGATTATTTTATATATGATATGTGGAATTATTAAACTCAGACACTACTGTTTCTATATATTGTACTGCTCAGAATTAGAAATAAAAAAACTTATACATTCAGTTAAACAACAAGCTCAGGTACAGAAAATCTGGGAAAACATCTAAAGTCTCACAGATCATCCTAAATTAATTTCCACTGATGCTTGCAGCTATATCCGAGCTCAAATCAGTACTGGAGAGAAAGTCCAAGTGTCTGGAGTGACCCCTGCTGGTGCCTGTACTACACTACACCACTTTGTAAAAGACCTCTCCTCTGCCACAGCCAGATGAGCCGTGTATGCTTGATGCTACTAAAGACTTTTGGAGAGAGAAGACAGGAGGTTTCCTCTTATGCACAGTGTGCGTGACCTGATGTTAAGTGATAGATAAAGTGTTTAAATCTTCTGTCATACGGAACACTCATTAAGAAATTGAGAGTGTATTACCTGCGCAAGGCATGACACATTATCTGCACCATTTTTGCACAGTTTTCTATACAGCCAATTGAGCCAAATATTATTTCTACTTCTAAGGCTGAAAATAAAATGTAAATGTAAATTTATTCAATAGTTCTGTTCAATCTACACAGAAAACAGTAACTAAAGTATCTAGGTTGATATGGTATTCATACTTGCAGATTCCACTCAAATAAAATATACATTAGCTTGCCCAAATGTCAAGTTCACAAAAGTAGGGATGCATGTATATTGTTTTCCTGTTTTTTGTTTTGTTTTGTTTTTAAGAAATCTTAAATTTTAAGAAAAAGAAATGAAGCTTATAACAATGTACAGTATTTTTTCATATGATGATGCTTTTTTAAATGCTTTTTTTTCACTTGGCTACTTTTTATAAACAACACAATTATGAAGGATATTGAAATCAGTGTTTTACTTTTGTACGTCTTGTTTATGTTTTTTTACCTTATGAATCACACACAGTGCTCTCTTACTTCTTTATTACCTCAATGTCTCATACAATATTGTGGAAAATTAAACTATTTACAATAAACCATAACTTTCTGTTCATGTAAAATAAAGCTAACACAAGTCTTATCTGGATATTTCTTTAAAGCATTACAGGCTACAGGTATTGTATATTAGGACTGAAGAGGTGCATACAGACGGAGCACCACGGTCAAGCAAGATTCACCATGAGTAACATATGACACAGAAGCATTTAGGAAAATTAAATTAAACACAAAAGTAAACATTTCTAGTTTGTTCATTGAGGTGGTCCTGAAGATTTATATTGTTCACATTAGCAGACAATATGTAGTGGAAGAGACGTCAAGTCATTGGAGAAGTCAAAAGGACAAATTAAGTTGGTTTTGGGGTAGGGGCTGAGAATCTAAAAGGTGCAGGTACCATAAAACATAAGAGTTTTCTTTCACCAAAAGTTCTACAGGATCAATATTCACAGATAAATGTGTATATTCTTTTATATTGTACTGGTTTATTACACAAGAATAGGAATAGTTGTTTTAAAGGTGCATTATGTAAATTTTTTGAGGAGGGTCCGCCATCTAGTTGTCTCCATGGACAGCATTGCTTAGCCTTGAATGTTCCACAGTAAGGCATTAAACCACCTGCTTGTCCTCCATGAGGACAAGCAGGTGGCGCCATTAAGCCAAAGCAGGTCTGTGGAGAGGTAAACCCACTCACTGTAACAATGCATGTTTCTCAAGTTATTTTCTTTTATGTAATTGAAAGCTAGACGTCTAATGCCACACAGTGGAACATTCTTGGCGACACAATAACATCTCCATGGAGAAAAACATGTGGAGAACTATTCCAGCAGAAAAGTAAAGTAAAATCCACCTTTAAAAAATAATGTACCGTCTAGACTTTTTACCTTTACAGTTTTTTGTGTCTTTTTGTGTCAGTGTCTTTAACAACTCCAGTTATTGACTTGCCATGATGTTAATTGCTCGGTTCAAAGATATTGTGTTTTTGTTTGTTTTTTGTAAAGTAACTTGCACCTTATAGATTTTTAGCTCTTATTATAGCAAGATGAAAGTAAATAAACTATGGCAAACTTGAGTTGGGTTAAACTTTCACTGATGTCCCTCAAAAATAAGTGGATCATAATAAGTGAACACAATGTTGGTACGTCATGTTGTGTTTTTCTTTCAATTATATAAATCATTATTATAGATTTATTTTTGTAATATACTTGTATAATCGCAGTTGTTTGAGTTACATTTTTACTGCTCATGACAGTAAGCAGAAAATATGTGATATGATTAGGAATAGTGCAACAAGCACAATTATATTAAATAAATGATAAAGATTAGAGCCCACATCTAGCAGTGCAAAATATTTAAACACTTGATTTGGCCTCAGTGTGGAGATGATAAGGAAGGCACAGGGAACAGCATTAGACAGGACTGGGATGACCTTTCACCTTTCAGGACAATATGGCTGCAAACAAATATGGAGGAAGCGGCCAGCGCCAAGTCTCTGCAAAAGCGGCAGAGTTACAGTGACAATGATGTGGAAAATTTAAAACTAATGTGCTCCACGCAAACTGCATCAGTCAGTCATATAAGAAGAACTACAGCATAGAGCGAAATCCTGCTGTTTCAGATATCACTTTAGAATAACTCGCAACAACTATAAAACAGTTATAAAGGGTGAATAAATATGGGGACGGGGTGAAAAGACTCCCAGCCAACAGGTGCAATCAGGTCACTGGCAGAGATTAAAAACAATTGTTCACTGTTAAATGCACTCACTAAGGAATACACTATTAAAAGCTGCCAAATCAAAATGGAAGCTTAAATGATTGAAATTAGCAAATCCCAAAGACATTATTAAGTAGTTAAATTTCCTAAGCAAACAAAACAATCCTGTCTTAATTTAAAACCTGCAAACCCTTTCACACAGAACTCTGCAATTACGATCTGAAAGTAATTACTAGTTCAGCATACTGTGAAATTAATCCTAAATTTAAAAACAACTACTTGTCAGAAAAATCACACTTGATTCAGGCCAACAAAAGTTTTTGGACGGAAGGAAGACATTGGCAAGACACCCAGAGCTCACTCAGACTGGACCAAGGACTGGGATTACGGGACATTAAGTCTGCTGCATTGTAAATAAAACAACTGGATATAAATGATTTTAGTGCGAGTTATTCTAAAATGTTACCCTGTTTTTCTTCCACTCACACAAACGCTGTGCTTGGCTGAACATTCGCGTGTCAGTGACTAACTCTATGATATGGCTCCAGGTGGTCTGCTGTGTTCACGTGAACGGTCAGTTACTGTGGGATCTTATGTGAGGCTGGCGTTGGAGCTGCTTGTGTTACTGTTCTTCCTCTGTCCGCTCTGTACCACCGAGGGCACCTGCAGACCGGTCACCACAGAGAAGCTCCCATTCCACACCTAAAAAAGACAAAGAATGACTTGTTTACATCTCCACAGATCTGACCTGTAACTTGGCCTAAGGGCATCACTGCTCATCTCCATAAAGACACACGCCTTACTATTCCAAACAAGTCACTATAATTTTCATGGGGGCAAGACAAGCAAACACCGTCCACCATAAATGTTATATAGTACAGTTTTAGGTACTCTTAGTTTAAAATTCTAAAATTTACTTTTTAAGTTAATAATGAAAATATTACTGTAATTTACATCAATCTGGAGTAGTAGCCTGAAAAATGATGTACAGAACTTGTAAAACAATTAGTAGCCTACTATTAGTGAGACTTTCTATACCAAGTACCACCAACAAAAATATTCAGCTCTCTGTAGGCCTGTTATGATAAAAAATTTTGAAGAGCGGTATATTTCTACAGAGATATACTACGACAAATAATAATAAATAAATAATACTGAAACTACTTTGTGCGGCTGACACAATAACAATAATGCAAGATAATTCCAGTAAACCATTTAAATAGACAGAATCTTTAAAGGCCTGAGCTGCAACAAATAAATAACATAATGAACCAATAATTTGCATTCAAAAGTACAAGAAATTGTAGTAGGTTTATGTTATTAAAATTAAAGTAAGTACATATTTTAATAATTTAATAGTGTTTGCCATAATGTAAAAGGTTTCTCACCATGAAGGCAGGTATAATAGGCTGTGGAAACTTGGTTTTAAAAGAGTGCATCAGCTGCTTTGTTTTAGCATTGTAGAACGACAGGACACCTAAAAGGCAAAAACAGAAATTTTACCAAGTACAATTTTAAAAGCATGATCTGTGACACTGTGCTTCATCCTACCTTCATCATAGTTACAGTAGACTCCAATGCTGTTGGGGATGACACAGTCCAGAGTGCGGGCCTTGTTGTTGTGCTTCGCGGTCAGACTCTGCTGCAGCCAGTTGTTCAAATGGATGCACCATGACGCTCCTGTTTTACCCAGCTGATCGAACTTCCCCAAACTCCTCAAAGCCACTCCCACCGCAAAGGTTTTACTCTCTTTATCGAAACGCACCTCCCAGTAGTGCTGCCCAGCATCGATTAATGTATCCGCTACAAAACAATACACAAAAAATGTTAACACTGATTTTTTAAATTATGCCAGTTATTCTCAATCCATTTGTGCATTAGGACATATTTAGATTTTTTTGGTACCACATTATATTAGATAAACTCACTCTAAAGCAACTAAACTGGACTATTGACTACATCGACTATACCGGCAGTAAACCAACTGAACTAAACTCAGTCCGACTAAAGGCTATGGACCCATGCCACAGTTTGCTACAGTCTGAGAAGAACTGAAGTTAGAGTTCCTTTACCTAGGACTGTATAGGACTCTGCAGTGAACCTATCCCTTCCAGGCCGGGCCGAGGGGGCTCTCTTTGGTGACATCAAAGCTGACCTGCGCACACAGGAAATCTTATTTTTACTTTCAAAGAAATCTTCTAAAACAGAAAGAGCACAAGATAAAACACTAATTTGGTACAACGCCCTTTGACACTGAATGCCCAAGGGCACAGTGCAATACAAAAAACATTTTCATTTACACTGGAATCTGTAACATCTATAAAATACATGTTTTTCTTGTAATTGTAATGTAATTTAATTTGTCATTTTACAACATTTATCTGTGCTGTACTGTACATAAAGATGACTAATATTTCACACAAACTGCTTCTCAGGAAATGCTCAAAAATACATTCAAAATGATTTGCCTGTGGTCAGTTGTTATTTTTATTGTCTCTGTATATACAAGTACACAAGGAGGTGTATTTAATTTTGTGGGCAATATTGTAATGAAAACACAAGTATCTATGAACAGATTCAGTTTTTGTATACTTGCTGAGCTCAGTTGTAGGGGCACAGATTGCTGACCTGGCTGGAGAGTGCATGGGGGAGTTTTTGTTCTTGTCTTTGCGGATGTCCTGTATCTTTCCTCCACTGCTGTCCCACTCTACACTCAGGTCCTCCACTTTCAGGTTCTGGTGAGATGAGCCCGAGTCCAGTTTGAATGTAAATGCTGCCGACACAAAAAAGGAATTTGATGCACCAAAATGTATATTGATATATAGCAGTAATAGCAATTTATTAAATTAATTCTGACCTGGGGTTTCTAATGTGACTGGCTCTGAGAATTCTCCTGCCACAGCCTTGTTACACGCCTTCACTCTGAATGTCATGAATCGTGTTTCAAAACGAAGACCTAGAAAAATAAATCAAGTTTAAAATAAACAACAGCAGGGAGGAAAGGGTAAAATATAATAACTTTTCATTTCAAGAAAAAAATTATTGAATTGCATTTCATGTATGTCCTGCATTCAAAAGTTTCATGGTTTTTTTTTATCAAGTGCAATGTCTGAATTTTTATTGTAACTAGCAAAAGAAGAAGAATATTTGAACATTCATTCATTTTTAAGCCAGTCTCTAGGCTCTTGTCTATGTACCCACTTCCTACTGTTGGCCCTATTACCTGTGATAGTGTGCTCTGTCTCCTTGATTCCCTCCACCACCATCCAGGGGTAGTCCTCCCTGACCCGGGGCGGGCCCTCGTGGTTCGTGCGTCTGTGCTCCAGAATGTAGTGGTCAATCTTACTGTCTGGCTCAGGCATGCTCCACACCACAGTCACTGTGTTATCACACACCTGGCACTCAGATACCTGGATCTCCGGAGTGGCAGGGACTAAAACCAGAATAATAGAAACTGTGTATTAGTAAATTTATATCTTTTGGTGTAGGATTAACAATATCCTTTGTCTTCCATGTAAAAGTAGTAATTGATAGGAAGCAGGGCAAGATGGTCTCAAAACTTAAGTCTCGTTTTAACAATATGTCATTCATAAATATACAGATTGCTGGGTTACAAACGACGTAAGAGTTGAATTTCTTTGTTAATTTTATATTGTAATTAATACAGAAAAACACTGTCATCTGGGACTGCATTCAGCATTCTGAAAACCTGTTACACTTTTAGGTTCCTGGTTGCCTGGTGTCTTGCATAAACAACAAATTCCATTTCTTGTGTACTTAGAGCTAGTTGTGTTTGAGATGGAAGTGTGTGAGACTTTCTGTGCTGTGCCGCAAGCCCTGAACTCTGTGGTAAACACGTGGGCTGTAAAACTAAACCAGCGACAAAAGAGCGATATAGATCTCTCGGTGGTTCCTTCCTATCAGACAACCTCATTTCATGAGACATTTGCATGAAAACAATACACGTCAAGTCGTGCTTTATCAAACGCATTTTATATCAGATAATTTCTCAAATGTGCAAGCTTTCAATTCTGTTAGTCGAAGTCTTATTTCACAAAGTCAAAAGGGTATTCATATAAATATAAATATTAATAATAATGTTTTTGTAAGCATTCTAACTACAGAAAGATAACATTTCTAATATTTTGTAAATACTATGTCGCATTTCCGACCTGGTAGAAACTTGAGGCCCTGCAGCAACTCTCGTTCCTGGCTGAAATCCACCATCAGGTGACTCATGTTGTCACTGGCCTTTGCCTTGAGGGAGAGGCGAAAGGCTGGGGCCATTGTCACACTGCAACAAAGAGGGACACAGACACTCAAACACAGTGGAAACAAGCACCCTTCATTATTTTACAGAATTTTAGGGTAACACAACCAAGTACTAACCAAGTACTACAACAATGCTCATTATAAATGAGACTATATCTACATACTGTATGTATGTCAGAGGTTCTCAAACTCAAGTAGCACAACAGAAATATTGTCCTAAAATTTCAAATGTGTATATAGTGTGTGTGTGTGTGGGGGGGGGAGTATATATATAACATAAAATTATATATACATATATACATTTATACACATATATATGTATTTTTAAAATATTAATTACCAGAAATATTTTTCACTTATATAGGACACATAACACTCCATACATGTGGGTTTTACTGGAATAATAGTTCTACAGCTCTATCTCCCCCACACCACACTAACCCTGAGCTACACAACAACTAGGATTTATCTAGGATTTTAACTGCAAATGGCAATTCATAGGCTCCAATATTTAGGTAATTTAATTTTATGCTCATGCCTTGAACAATTTAAAATGTGCACTGTGTACTTGACATTTTGATTTTTTTTTTTTATTAATTGTAATCTTTTTTTTAAATCATAAGCAGGACTAAACAAGTGCTTATGTAAATCTTAATAAACCACAACCAAACACTGGCTATGCTCACAGATACACACATCTGATTAATTATTATCTGGTAATAATCAGATTTTGAGCAAACCATGTAACTGTAGCCACTGACTGAAAATAATGCACCAAACAAGAACAGTTAATAAATACTCCACAGTACGACGATAGGAGATATGTACCACAGTTTGAGAACCACTGGACTAGATCACTACCATTCAGCAACACATCCTACATTAAAGCACATACAGGAGAAAGGCATTCAGGGGAACACATAGGGATGTAGCCTACAGTCTAAAGTGGACAGACCAAGAAAATCAAACCCAAGCTTGCCAAAATACATAAAACTGAAATGAATGCAATGACTATTTAACATGCAGGCTACAGCTTCAGACCATGGTTATTAATTAAAGAATAAGCTATAATGACAAAAGACAAGCAATTGATAACTTAGTACTATACCTATCCTTAATCTCTTTGGCCGCCTGCAGAGGAAGCAGAGAGGAAAAAAGAAGAAAAGAGATACGAAGCAGAGAAAATCAGAGTTGTTGTTGGAATAAAACACAGAATAAATAGTTGCAGATGTTAAATTTACTGTGCTGCTAGTACGACAATGAAAGAGAAAGGTTGAAATTTAAGTTATTACAATTATAGTATACAGTAGCGTGCAAGTCGGTCAGAAATATTCATTCCAATTCAATCATTATTATTATTATGCTTTACTATATGTAATGTTACAATGTAATAAAACCCAGGAAAGGCAGTCTAAAGTGTGTCATACATCTTTACTACCACTGGGATTAGCGCTATGAATGTGGTTAGTTTGCACCCTTCCGTTTGTAAATATTTGAAATTTTGTGTTTTTGCACATTTATACACAATTTTTATGTAAGATTTTCTACTGTAAATATGCACTTTGCACAGTACTGTGTATGGTATATTATTAATAATTTCTCAGCTCAATAAATGATCAAACATTACACGATTAGTCAACAGACCAATTCGACAGTACTTTATCAGATTTGTTGAGATACCTGAGTGAAGCCATCGGTCTCAGAGGAGCAGAGCGTCTGATTGGCCAGTTCAAGCAGCTCCTCTGAACTCTCCAGCGCTTTAGAGCAGGCACTGAGCTGACTCTATGGCAGACAGGACAGGAGAGAAGGGGTTAAACCCAAGACTTTATTTTCATATAATAAGTCTACTGTGTGCCACGTTGAAAAAACAGCTGAATCATTTGAGGGTCATGGACTGCACCCTGAGGCTGCTGCAGTTTTCATCTGTGCATCAAAAAAGACAAAATAGATCTTAGGCTATAACTTTGGGACACTGTCTGAAATTAAACTTCAATAAACATGTATTAAACCATATTGGATTACATGTTTACATCTTTTAACATGTAACACATACTGCAGTCATACAAGGACATAGTATTTTTAAGGTTTTGCCTACAGCTACAACCATGTAGCTTAGATAATACAGAAATAACATAGTTAGTATTACTGCTCTGTATATGGTGGCATTTTTACATCAATAGCCACTCAAACTGCATCAAGAAACAATTCACCTCGAACACACACACATTCATACACCAGTGGTCTAAGGTGGGGAAATTGTATTGCCCAAATTATTCATAACCTGATTAACATGAGCAAATTGTAATTAGATGTGGGCATGTGCTTACCTGCAGCTCATATGTGCGACTGGCCCGCTCCTGTTTGATGCGTGTGAGCATATTTTCTTTCATTTCGTCCAGTACTGCATGAAGTGCATTAAACTCTGACTCAAGATCCTCCTGGACACGGTTTGAGTTTGCCTGAAGACACAAGTATATTACAATGGAACTATAAAACAGAATAATGTTCCCATATGTTTAGTTAATAGTGGGTTACTGTACCTCTAGATTTTCAAGGTTTTGCTTGAGAGAGCAGACGAAGTTAGAAATTTCTTCATTTTTCACTGCCAGTGTGTGCGTGATCTTACGGAGAGATTCCTAAAGTAAAAAACAGATGTTGGACAAATATGATCCTTTAAGTAAATGAATGTAACACAACACTCAGAGGACTAACCCTCATCTTGTCTTACAACACCTTTCAAGAGGGGGGTTCTGGTTCATGAAAACAAGAGCCCAGCTGATCTTACTAACTAATGATCCTTTAATGAAATGTAAATGAGTAGGTACATGCATTTGATTGTACACAAACAATGGACACTCTGATGATGTGTTTGGTGAATGAGATCAGATCACAGAGGGGCCGTGAAAGAGGACCAAGCCCCTTAAAGAGGAGGACACTTCACGGGCGGAAGGACGCGCATGTATAATTTAATAATGCCGCTTCACTGGGCTACCGCAGAACAGCTGTCTTCAAATGACAAGGCAGTCTGTAATGCGACTTTCACTAGAGATGAAATTTAGTCTCACTTTAGATTAGCGTGATAATAAGTGAAATGGTCATTCATTCTGGACCTACACAGCCTGGTCGTTGATGCAGCTGCACTAAGGCCTATTTGTTCTCGACATTTTTAGTATTTGCCACAATATAACAATACCTGAAAACAGTTAATAGTATGCCCATTGTCATAGAAACAACACCGTTTGGCACCAGTACGTGTGACAAATTTGCCTCTTTAGCGGCTTCTACCCCTCCTCCTTCCTTTGTACGCTACGCCCTGGCTCAGAAGGCTCTTTGCCCCATCCCAGACACCTGTTCCCCGGGCTTCGGCTCACCTTCTGGTCGCCCATGTCGTCCCTGCGCTTCTCCGGCGACACAAGAGCCGCAAACCCCGCCGCTTCGTCTCCCCGTGTCTTATTTTTGCGGTATTTCCTCCGGCGAGCTGGTAATGATGCTGCCGAAGTGAGTGCAACGCATCTTCGGCCGAATCCCCACCAACGCCTTGGGCCGTAGGTCGCTCTGCGCATGCGCTAAAAGAGGATTATGGGTAATGGTGTTTCTGAAGTGAAAAGGCGCAGATACCCTAAAAATATATATTATTTCGATCGCACACAGTATAATAGTAAAATACATTATTGTCATTACTATACATACTCACTTTATTTATTTTTTTTTTTTCGCAAGAATAAAACTTACTGTTTAGCCCTAGGCTACACCTTCAGTCGCTGCATGGGAATATCAGCACATACTCATTGTACAAATATTGCTTCCTAATTTATAAGTGAATTCTTCTCTAGACTTTATTTTCTGTTTTAAGTGTATTCTTTGTCTGAGCAGAAATTAACCAACACAAGAGGAAAGGGTTCTTTTCCCCAACAGTGCCTAAACCTGCATTCTTAGAAAGAGAATTACTGTAACTTGACTTAACACTTGCTATTTTCCCAGGGTATTGATTTCTAGACAAGAACCAATACAATAAAACATCAATATTGTGACTTTGCTTCACAGGGAAAGGCTAAGGATTAAATAGAGAAGCCTACTTAGGTAGAGTGATTATGTAAGTCAGATGGCCGTACTGTTCAGCTGATATCTCCTTTTAGGGAGAAATCTTGCTGCTAAACTATAGACTGTTTGTTGAGGAACATATCATCCCAAATATACAATGCATTTTTCTCTTGGGTTAATTTTGTGTGGTTAAGTAAAAAAGTTTAATTTGCTTGAATGTTTTCAAATTGCACTTTAAACAGGATTAGAATTTGATCATTAAAGAGTCACAGTACTTTAACGTATGCAGATTTTACTTCAAGTATTTTTGGAGGAGGGCATGCAACTATGCTTACCTGAAAAGTTCATCAGCATAATATTAAACTTAATCTATCTCCATGGAGACAAGCAAGGGATGCCACTATAGGTCAAGTGACAGGTTGGATCTGTTTAGAAGCAGGTCCACTCACAGTAAGAATGCATGTTTTTCAAGGTTTGTGTAAGTAATCAAGCAGATGTAATGTAAAGATGAGTTTAAAGCCATACTCTGAAACATAATGGACAAAGAAATAAATGGGGGCCAGTCCACCACAAAAATTACATGCACATTTACCCAAACATGCATGACTTCAATTCACAAAGCAAATTACCTCTGGGATCTTGTTCTTGTTCTTGCTGCAAGTTTTGTGCAGCACAGATGATTCAGTTCACCTTTCCTGTTCTTTTGTCAGCATTATGAAATCTAGATATGAGAGGGAATTTTCTATTATAAACCCAAATGCAGAACTGCAACACAGGGTAAGACCACTGTTAGAGTGCACACGATACAAAAATCTAAACCATTATTTAAATGTGTCTTGCCACAGAGAAGCATGCCCTCATTTCAGGGTTAAACAGGATGAAGATGAGCGACCCTGTGTTTAACACCTGGGCACCAAAAGCCACAGTGGCACCTATAAGCCTGTCACCTTTAACTGAAAAGATGTAGTTTGAATTTTCACTAGAAAGTGATGCTAACTTGTGGTTGCTTCTTTTTCTTTGCTTTTAAACCTGGTTTAGCCTGAGATTAGTCAAAATATTTAATCTTGGTCAACACCAGTCTTATCAGGCTCTTTTCCTTCTCCTGTTTTTACTCCATTATTTGAGACTAAAGCACCATCGAACTGCTCTAAAACTAAAACTAAACAAATATTATATAAATATATTTTCAGCTTGTTGTGTACTTCTTGTTGTTACAGTAATTATGAGAAAGCCCCTCCTCCCACCTACATAAACCTTTTCATGTACCCTTTTCTGGTCATAGCCACAGTCTGTCTGAGAGGAAGACTGTCACACACGATACAATGGAAATTTGGCTGCTGTTAACAGGTAGATGACTTCCTTTGATTTGAAACATACAGAAATAATTTATTTAAAAAGTGATATTGGTCTAAATTAAAATTACATACACAAAGTATAGAGGTATTGTGTTAATACTATGCCATAACATAACAGTAAAAAGCAGTATGTGTTATTGCCTTAAATTATAATAAAAACAGGTGTATAAAATGTAAGACTAGTGGTTACGTGAATTAGCTATGCCTTGAATTATATTATTTTACATTATATTTACATATTACTAGGCTGATAATTAATTTATAATACATTGTGATTTTAGTCTTATTGCATGACTATTGACACATTTTGTCTTTGTTTATTTTCAGTACTAGGAATGGTTTCCTCCACTTCCACATTGATCTCACTAGTAGAAAATGGAACTGAACCAAAAGACATTCAGGAAGGGTCTTCTGTGTCTCTACTCTGTCACTTGTTCACCAATAGCTCAGGACGTTGCATTGTTACTTGGTTCTTCAACTCTAGTACAACCTTTAAGATCCAAAACCTTTCCACGCAAAGGTTCAGTGACTGCAATGAACAGAAAGTTCACACTGTTCACAATGTTTCCCAAAATCAGAGTGGATTGTACTTCTGCAATTCTACAAAGGACATTCCAATTCTTGAAAATGAACTCAGTGGCAAGACACAGCTAAATGTCGGTAAGTGTTATTCAAAATACCCATCACTTAAAGTAGAGAGGGTCACTAAATTGTAAAAGTGATTTGCCCTATTTATATGTTTTAAGTTAAGATTTATTTTATTTTTGTGACAGAAAATAGTTTATTGGAGATCACATCACTACCTGGTGTTACTGAACAAGGTCTGTCAAATATGCATCCTGTGTACCTATATATCTGTGTATGTATATATATATATATATATATATACACACTGGTAACTGGGTTAACATTGCCCAACCTTAATACAATGTGGCCGTATTTTTAGGGTCAGAGCTTTTTTGTATGCAAAGGATGTTAAATAGTAGTAATAGTAAAGTAAAGTGTATAATTACTAAATGTATTGTTTTGTTTTTTTCCCAGTTCCTAAGAAGCGTCCTTTTATGTGGAGTGACTGGTGGATGTGGATCACACTGGGAGCTGCAGGACTTGTTTTATTGATTTTGGTGTTAGTGTGTTTCGTGCTGAGAAGAAGACAGCTCAAACAAAGAGGTAACGCAATCCACGCAGTTTAGACAAATAACCAGAAATATATATTTTTATACTTTTTATATTAAAAATACCAATATTTATACCACTAACTTACTAATTCCTAAATTCTCAATCATACCTCAAAGATCTGGTTTTAACAGTAAACTGGGGAAAGAGGAATTCAACCAATCTTTAACATACAGGACACAATAAATACAATACAGTCACACATTTTTACAGTACATATATTATTAACAAATACTATGTTCACTTAATATTGCAAGTATACATTTTTTGCCACATTTTGCTTCAACAGTAACCTCATTCTTGGTTGACTAAAGACATGTCCTGCTGATCGATTAGTTGACTATAAAGGGGGTGTAGCGAAAGCTCTCAAAACTATTACATATCTTTATATGTATCTGACCCAAACCAAACTCACAAGACTACACCTGCACTATTTACATTATTGAGGCAGAGAAAGATAATAGGAAAAAATATATTTTTGAAAGACAGATGCAACTTGTGAATCATGCCTTTTTATTTATTTACATACATTATTACATACATTTCAACTCACTGACTTCTTTTTGATGTTCTTTCTAGTGTTCTCATATCCTTATAATCTAAATAAACAGGTAATACTATTTAAATATTTAAATATTTTGATAGATGTAGGACTTCATCAACCAGTCAAATTACTAAAGCCTACAGTCCTAAACCTCATCAGTCAGAAATGTACATTTTCTACAATTCTGATCAAACATCTGATCAAACTGCAGATGTTTTACTTACTTAGTAATTGTTATTACAAAGGGTATCCCAAATTGGGCCTGCCAGCAGAATTACACCACTTGTTTGGAAACCCTGGACTATAATAATAATAATAAAAATAATCTGTACATCAGTTTATAAATTTAAGGCCAATAACCATCGCTTTAAAAAGCATCTTGCCAAATGTGTTTCTTCTCAAAATAAAGTTGACTTTTTTCTCAGAATATAAGCATGTTGTTTTCAGACAATATTTCAAAAATTTACCACTGAAAATATTTCTTTACACCACCAAAGAATCACAAGATCATAACAAATTCCTCATTTAAGGTGAAGTGATTCAAGCCTAGACCTCTATCTGCAAAAGTACTTTTGAAGCCTCAAATAATACATATAGATATTGCATGTGCTGAAAATGCAGCATACAGCAGGTGGACTACAGTCTAGTTGCATATGGACTCTGCCATCATAAAATGGTGGTTTGTGGTAAGACTGCACAGGATGAGAACACTTTAGACAATGTTTCATCTCAAGTGTGGTTTCAATTCTGAACTAGCAATTTTACATCGCTGCAAAGGAAATCAAGACACAGGGTGAATACAGTCCTATGCATGAGAAAAAACAGGGCAAAAATATTGACCAGTAGTTAAAAAAATATCCGGGAGTAACACATGTTGGTGTTTTAACGCCCCCTCAAAGCTTAGTTTGAGTCATCACAAAAAAGAGACTGCTGATGTATCTAGAGCATATGGCAACTAACAATAGTAATACAATAAGATGTTAAGCAATATTTAAGCAAGCAACATGTTTCAACAAAATCTCACAAGGTGCAACAAGACACAAGACTGGGTCACATCACATAATAAACTGTTCTATTCAATGTAGAACAGCTTTTTAAACAATGTGTGTAACCCTTCGGCACCTAACCTTTTTGTGTCTGAGCAAACTGTAAACACAGAAGAAAAATCTCACAAGATAAGTTTTGGGAGCAAGTCGTTGTTTTGCAAGTCTTGCAAGTCTCAAGTTCGAATCAAGTCCCAATTCAAAGACTGGCAAGTCCAAGTCAAGTCTCGAGTCAGTGGCTCACAAGTCCAAGTCGAATTCAAGTCCTGCTCTGAGCTTCAAGTCATTTCAAGTCTTTAAATTGAAGTACCAAATATAGCTTAGGTTTTGCAATTTATGAGATTTTTATTCTAAATTGTAATGCTTAATAACAGTTATTTTGTCATGTAGTCTGCACTAAAATGGAAGGATCATGGTCTATGTAGTTCCTGTTACTGTTACATTCATAGTAACAAATAGAGAAAACATATATATTTTGAGGAGAAGCATCATTGACCATCAAGTCTTACTCCATTATATTAAAATCATGTCTCAAGTCCTCAAAATAGTGACTCAAGTCTGACTCAAGTCCAAGCCGTGACTTGACTGGGTTATACATTTATATATACAATTAACTGTTATTGCAGATAGTAGAAATCAAAATTCACACCAAACTGTACTAGTAAGCAGACATAGTTTTGTTAAGATGCTCAGTGAAAAAAAAAAAAAAAAGATAATTAAAAAAACAAAACAAAACAAACAAACACATAAAAAACAAGCCAGTCAAGAGAAAACTGATACACCAAGAAAAATATGATGTATTTCACAAAAAATGAGTATGGCTACATATTTGGGTTGTATACCTACAGTAATATGTGTGGAAATATTTACACCAGTTTGAATGTAAGTGGTAAAGACAAAGAATAGAACATGATAGAGAGAAAAATTTGATTTGTGCAAGAACTTGGTGATTTTGAGTTTGTCATGTATATCAGACAATAAATAAATAAAATTATTATGATTATGATTATTATTATTATTATTAATCATCATCATCATCATAAATACATAAATAAATAAGTAGCCTGTGTTCAGTGGAAATATGGCTGAAGGTAGACCACAGTATGTAACGTTCTGGAGGTGGCAATGGAAAGTTAAAACCCTCCTGTGGCTTAAGAGATAGAAAACATACCATAACAGACAACTTCACCCACACAGCTAAACAACACAAAAAACTGAAATATGGCCAACTGCATTATTCAGTCATTTGACTTCTTTGAAGACTGAAAATAATGTCATATAAGACTGTAATATGAGGCCAAAATACATTGAATCACAAGACAATAAATTGATAGCCTTAATTCATTGCCCAACTCACCTTTCTGAGCTTGTCTTATGTTTTCCAGATTTAGATTGCCGGATCTACGCCAACATGCACCCGGTGAACTGCAGAAAACAGCCCTCTCCACGAGTCGGACCCCCAGATACGCCTAACACACTGAAAATGGACTCATCCTACCAAAACCTGCGCACTCCAGACGTGGGCATGAGATACGAGCAGAGCAGAAGAGTCTCGCCACGCCAATGACATTACACTGACACTGACATTAAGCACTGTTCTCATGCATGTGGCATATTTTGCAGTTTGTGTTATAATGTTGTTCCTCAATTAGGCACTAGAGGGAAGTCAAGGTGTCAGAACGGCAACATCTGTATTTTTCATGCTAATGTACAGTTGTAATATATATATTTTTTCAGTTAAACATAGACTACGCAATAAATAAAAAATATATTTTATTTCATTACTGCCTGTAGTGCGTCATTAACCTAACCTATTCTAGGAAGAAATTTTGATTGGAAATGTAGCGGATTAGTAGTCTCTCATTCAAAAGGCTGAGGCAGTTGACAAAAACTTGATTGTATCATGCTAATATTCTAGTATAATTGCATGTTTTAATGCAGGTTTCATATTTATGGGCATAGAGACCTCTGCAGTGTAGAACACACCTAACCCTACAAAAACAGGTCACCACCAACGCGCAACCGATAAAGCGTATTATTTTCAACTAACCTAACAGAAAACTAAAGGTAACAAAACAAAGCTTCTTGCTGCCCTCTGATTGGTTCAGGCTGATATTTAAAGAAAGGTGCAGCTTGGGAGTCACGTGACCGGGCGCTGCCTCCTGGGTCCTGTTGTGTTCAGAGAGTCGCTCCCCTCGGCCAGAGTGCACCGCTCACCGCGGCGCAGGTGGAGACAAGATACGGGCTTTGAACTAAACTCTTTCTCTTTTGGATTACTACTATAACTTCTTGGTGAGTACTAAAACTGTACCTAACTGACTTTGAACGTGTCCCATAAAATTAACGGGTCGGTAGCTGTTTTTTCCGCTCGCTTTGTGGGAATTGGGGATATGTGGACCTTGTGCGTAAATGGAGGGCCAGTGGCGCGCGACATACGAGTGCACAGTGAATTCTGTGCATAAGATTATGGGATATCCTCCACTAATAATAGCAGTTCAGAGCAGTGTTAGGACGCCGTTTAGGAGCAACTTAGACTGCAAATCTACTTCTAGACTAGAGTCATTTACGAAGCAATGTCTGCATGCTCTCTGAAATAACATATATCAGCATACTGGGTAAACATGTAAACAAAAGTCTATGTAAAATGAGTTGTATTAGAAAAAACTTAGAGTACTCTTATGTCATGTAGCCTCTCCAGTCAGTCCATTAGTTGTATTGTATAGGTTAATGTTGCCTACGTGCTTGACTTTCATTGATAATCCTTATGATGCCGAAATCCCCTTGATTCTCCAATAAGATGTGATTTAATTAAGTCTACCTATACTACTTATTAACTATATTAACTGTACAGTGTCACTGATTTGACTTTCCTAAAAAAAAACACTAGACATGAGTGTTATTTTATTTTTATATTAATGTTTTGTTGCTGCTAAACTGTTGGAAGCTTCTGTGTCAGGAGGTTACTTTCACTAGGCCTTCCACTAGTTTATTGGTTTGTTAACAAAGCATGGGTTAATTTGTAAACTATGCGCAGATTCAAACATAAAGGCTGTATCATATCACTTCAAACTATTCTTCTAACAGTTAAGATCTCTGTACACCTTTCTCCCATAGCTGATTATAAGTGTCCTATCCTCACAACAAAACAAAACATGGTGTGCACCAGTGTATTTTAAGCCCACGGAGAGCTTCACTTGTACCATGGGGTTAAACGTGATACTTGTGAATTCAAGTGCAGTGAATGGTGAGAATTCTGCTCATGACAGGACCCTGGTGCAGAGCAGGAGCAGCAGCAGCAGTTGAAGCACAGGAGCAGCAGAGGTGTGTGCTAGTACCAAGGGATTGCCCAATTTTAACTGTCACTGTTCACACGAGGGTCACACTACTGGGACATGCCTCACATACTCAGGGGTTATGGGGTGAGAGGTGGTGGAGACAGATAGTATGCACACCATCATTTCTTAACTCTTTAATGACACTTGGAGCATTAGTGGCTTTAAGGACTTTTTAAAAAAACTGAATGTTGTTAACAGTGATTTGTAAATGTGTTTAGCTGCTTGTCTTATATTATAATGTGCCTTAATTCACTTTGTCAAACAATGTATTTTAATTGACTGCCAATCCACCCACATTTGCCATACTACTATTTGTGCTATTCCCTAGGCTACATAAGTCGGTTAAATAAAGAGATTGAGATGCGTAAATCAATGTAGGCCATACCTAAAAAAAAACAACAGTGTTTGTCAAGAGGTGTGGCCTACTTTTTGTGTTGGCCCCATCTGGCATAAACCCTATGCCAAATTAAATATGTAAATGACTGTGCACTAGAAGGCAGATGATTTGTTACCAGGACCTCAGGTGGATGCAACTAAAATATACCATTATTACCTCCGCCAAGGAGGTTATGTTTTTGCTGGCGTTTGTCTGTTTGTTTGTTTGTTTGTTTGACTGTTAGCAACATAACTCAAAAAGTTATGGACCAATTTTGATGAAATTTTCAGGATTTGTTGGAAATATGAAAAGGAAGAACTGATTTCATTTTGGGGGTGATCCGGAAGAAATCCTGGATTCTGGATCACTTTGAAATTTTAGTTAACATTGTGGTAAATGGGGCCAAAAATTTTGTTTCTCAATATCTCTGTTAATTATTGACCAAACCCCATGAGATTTGACTCAGGGATGGACAATGGGATCCTCTTTCATATTCCAAAGGCTGATCCGGATCTGATCCAGAAGACTGATTTTATTGCAATTTATATAAAAAATGGGGGTAGTCCTTGGCAGAGGTCTGTGCTCTCTGAGTGCTTTTCTAGTTATTATTATATTCCTTCATTCAGTAAAATACATTATATCAGTTGTCTTCTGTTGGAAGTCCATGGAAAGGGTCTAGCAGGCATGTCAAACTCAGGCCCATGGGCCAAATTTGGCTCACGATATAATTATATTTGGCCCACGAGAAGCAAAACTATTATTAAACCATTTATTTTAATAAGAAAACTTTTAATGTTAAAGAAAGAACAGAAAAACATGCAGATGTTGTTGGAATTTTTCAATAAATATTTAGTTTGGCCCACAAATTAGTCCCAGTTTTTAATTTTGGCCCTCTGTGAATTTGAGTTTGACACCCCTGGTCTATAGATTTCATTTGACCAAAAAAAGGTCACATTTCACCAAAATCTGATCATGATTAAAATGAACCAGGTAAATTGCCAAATTTTGATCTTAATTTTAAAAATGACTGATTGAACTGCTCCTATATCACAATTAAGGAAGCACCAGTTTGATACTGGTGTCCGATATCGGTGCTGAAAAAATAGCTGGATTAGATATAAATTGATGTAATCAAACTATTTACTAATTGTAATTGGCCCAGAAAGTCTCAGTGTTTTAACTTTTATTAATACAAAGCTGTTCTGTAGTTACTTGAGAGGTAAATAACAATTGCATAACAAAAAAACCCAAAAACGACAACCAAAAAAAAGTCTTTCAAAGGAGTGCAAAAATCCTGTTTAATTTTTCCATTAAGGGTTGACAAAGATATTCCTGCACTCTAAAGTTTAGTATAATTTATGTTTTGTGGGACACTTGAACTTCAACATTTACAAGCTTGTTTTTAGTACATTTCTGATAAATAGTCATAATATTGCATGAATATTTTCACCAGAATAATCCAGAAATTTAGATAATCATATCTCATTATCTCCCACCCACAAACAGACAGACCGTTTGAACAGACTTAGAATAGTAAACTTTACCAATTCATCTTAGAATATTGCCTCTGTGAGAAAACGTGTCAGGTGTTCAGGCTGATCTTTTACTATATTTTATTGAAGTTGCTGCTTGGACTTGCCTATGCGTGTGTCACCAAGTACTGGGTTTGTCCAAGTTTACTCTATACATGTGTCATCAATTACATGTAAGATGACAAGCAATGAAGTGGTCCTATTAATCAAAGTTGTGAGTTGTCAGACGAGTTGGGCAATGAAACAGTTTTGCAGTCCTTTGTATGTATCATAGGCAAAGGCCAGTAGATCTGAGTTTATTTGTGTTATTTTTGGCAGAGAGAATTAATGATGAACATAGACCTCAAAATACTGTAGCTAAGTAAAATACAGATGTGGACAAAATGGTTGGTACCCCTCTGATAATGCAATAAAAATCAACAATGATCACGGAAATAACTTGAAACTGACAAAAAATAAATAAATATAAATTTACTGAAAACTATCTTATGAAAATCAAACAATGCTTTTCAACTATGGTTTAACAGAATCATTTGAAAAAAAACAAAATAATAACTGGCCTGGACAAAAATGATGGTACCTTTTAACTTAATATTTTGTTGCACAACCTTTTGAGGCAATCACTGTAATCAAACGATTTCTGTAACTGTCAATGAGACTTCTGCACTGGTCAACAGGTATGTTGGCCCACTCATCGTGGGCAAACTGCTCTAGTTTTTCAGGTTTGAAGGATGCCTTCTCCAGATCACATATTTCAGCTCCTTCCACAGATATTCAATAGGACTGAGATGAGGGCTTATAGAAGGCAACTTCAGAAGAGTCCAATGTTTTGTTCTTAGCCATTGGTTTTAGGTGTATATTTTGGGTCATTATCCTGTTGGAAGACCCAAGACTTGCAACTAAGACCAAGCTTTCTGACACTATGCAACACATTTTGTTCCAGAATGCCTTGATAGTCTAGAGATTTCATTGTGCCATGCACAGATTCAAGACACCCTGTGCTGGATGCAGTAAAACAGCCCCAGAACATAACCAAGCCTCCACCATGCTTCACAGTAGGGACAGTGTTCTTTTCTTGGTCTGTTTCATTTTTGTGTCTATGAACACAGAGCTGATGTGTCTTGCCAAAGAGTTCCAGTTTTGTCTCATCTGTCCACAGGACATTCTCCCACAAGCTTTGTGGCTTGTCAATATGCAGTCTGGCAAATTCCAGTCTAATTTTTTATTTTTTTTTATGATTTGCTTTCAGTAGTGGTGTCCTCCATGGAAGTCCATTTTGGCTCAAACAGCGACAAATGGTGTGATCTGACACTGATGTACCTTGCCCTTCGAGTTCACCTTTAATTTTTTTGGAGGTTGTGCAACTGTAGTCACCGGAAAATCAAGCTGCTTGGAGATGGTCTTATAGCCTTTACCTTTAACATGCTTGTCTATATAGATATAGATATAGATATAGATATAGATATAGATATAGATATAGATATAGATTTTTTTTTTGTCTCCTGACACAGTTCTCTTGTTTTCTTTCTCTGGGCCATGTACAGTGTTGTATCCATCATGTCACCAAATGGCACAATGACACATGTCCCCCTTTAAACAGACAGACTGACTGAGGACAAGTTTGAAGACACCTGTGATGCTAGTTAAAGGACACACCTAAGTTTCACATGCCAATGTTGTACAATTACTTTCACTCTTTTCTAGGGCTACCATGATTTTTGTCCAGGTCAGTTTCTTTCAGTTTTTTTGTAATGATTCTGATGATTAATTTTCAGTAATTTTTTATTTATTATTTCTTTTATCAGTTTCAAGTTATTTCATTGACCATTGTTGATTTTTCTTTTATTATCTGAGGGGTAATTTTGTCCACGTCTGTAGCTACTTCTACACATACAATTACTACGATTAATACAACTGTCACCACTACGATACCCCTACTGTTAAAATATTGGCTATAGTGAAAGCAGACATATTTTATTCATAATTTTCCTCAAAAATCATAATTGTCTTCATTGAGTCTCTTAAGTTTTCATTTTTAGTAATTCAGGG